CTCCCACTTGTTTGTACTACAATACTTTTTCTTCAGTAGAAGGCAGAATCTCATGAGAGTTCAGCCTTTGGAATTTTAACATTCCTGAGGCCAGAGTCATACTTCTATAAATTTCATTTGGGGAAAGGGAATGTTCATCTCTGTTCTTCTCCAAAATATTCATGCTGTTACGGACTTTCCAGAGGCTTGGGAAATTGTTTCAATGGTAAGGGAAAGGCTAAAAGCCCATAGTACTAATAGTCTTCCTAAAGGCTTGTCTGACAGTTGATTTAGACATGTTTTGTGCCTAGATGCACTGTAGAGAGTGGTTTCTTGGAGCCTACCTGAGCACCTTCACTGCGCTCTTGCACTCTCACAGTGAGTGGAGGGATGAGTGTGAGGAAGGTAAGGGAGTGAGGGTATTCAGTTAGAACTTTGATCACTGCGCATTACAGTTCCCTGTTACTGACTCCAGTATAAACACGGACAAATAATATATTAGGGGAAGTAGTCATAAACTTTCTTGGCTTTGAATCCCATTCCCAGTGAATTAGATGGCATTAGTGAGGTTTTTTGTTTGTTTTGTTTTTTGCCATTTGCAAGATTGGTAGAATATTTAGTATTTATGATATAATTTGAAATCTAGAACATTTTTATTTTATTTAGTTATTTATTTATTTTAGTTATTTATTTATTTTGCTTTTTGGGCCTCACCCGGTGATGCTCAGGGGTTACTCCTGGCTCTGCACTTAGGAATTATTCTTGGTGGTCCATGTGGAATCCTGGGGATCGAACCCAGATCAGCCACATGCAAGGCAAACGCCCTCCCTGCTGTACTCTAGCCCCAGCTCCCCGGCACATTTTTAAAGGATATAAATCTGTTCTGGAGCAATAGCACAGCGGTAGGGCATTTGCATGCCCTACCTTGCACGAGGCCAGCCCGGCCGAGCCGGGTTCAATTCCTCCACCCCTCTCGGAGAGCCCGACAAGCTACTGAGAGTATCTCGCCCTCATGGCAAAGCCTGGCAAGCTCCCCATGATGTATTTGATATGCCAAACACAGTAATGACAAGTCTCACAATGGAGACGTTATTGGTCCCACTTGAGCAAATCAATGAACAACGGGAGGACACTGCTACAGCGCAGTGCTTTAAATCTGAGCATGATGCTCCAACTTGCTTTGAAATCTGCCAGTTGGGGGAGATAGGGCTGACCCGGATTCTACCCTGGCACCACACGTGGTCCCAAGCACAATTGGACTGATCCCTTAGTACTACTAGGTGTGGCCCCCAAACAAAAATCTGATGTTGTCTTCCTTTAACAATGGAGGAAGAAAGATAATCTGAGACAGATATGTTTTGACTGATAAAATAGAGGTTGACTGAGGAAAGGGGGAAAGGACAGAAGAGAGCATTCTAGAAAGAAGAAAAATCATGGGTAGCAGCAACTCCTAAGGTAGATAAGAGTATGATTCCCTCGAAGAATTAGAGAGGGGAAAAAGTCTAATAAGATCAAAATTGGTATTTTTTGGGTTCAGAGGAGAGTAGGGTGCTTACCTGCATCGCTGGCACCCCAGCCCTGCCAGGAGTAAACCCTGAGCTGTGGGGTGTGGCCCCCAAACCAAAAATGAATTAAAAAAATAGCAGGCATTATTTGTCACCTTTTTCCCCAATGCTTGGAAGGACACTAGTCTTAATAGTGCACAGTGAGAAACACTGTTTTAGAGCCAACTCTTTCTGAAGTCTTTGGTATTTCAGTTTTTCTGGGTCACCTGATGTTGGAGACATCACCTGTCTCCCTTTCAGTATTAGTTTTCAAAACACTTAACCATTAATTAGTGTTCTGAAAATAGTCCCATTAAGTCCCAATTGTTAGTGTAGCTTATTAACCTGAGAACCCTAATTGCTGGGCTTTGTTGTACCTTGATAGCAGAAGATGGTTATGGTTTGGAGCTGTAGTTCTTGGTCGTAGCAGCAAACGACTGCAAAGCCAGGATTTGTAGGAGGTTCCTATTGTTTTGCTGTTCAGCTGGCAGTTCCTCAGGTGTCATCCAGTCACAAGTTTGCTCTGTTAATGACAGAGACGTGAAGCAATCTTTAATAGAAGTTACAGACTCCCTACCCCTCACAGGAACTGACTCACGTATACTGGCATATTTTCATATGAGGAAGAGCCAGAAACTCAAAAACCTGTTTCCTTACCAGGAAAAGTGGCATCATCTCATCTGGGTTTTTATTATGATTAGCCACAAAACATGATATTCTCTGTTGATGAATTCAAACTTGAAACATCTTCCTGTGAAGTGTTGTGGACCCCAGGACTGGTGTTGAATTTAGCCCTTTAACTTCTGAATTGAGTGTAGTGACACTTTGGAGCTTTTCGTCAAAATGTGAAGTCTTAGTTCCTCCATGCTCAAGAAGGGTCTCCTGAGTGAGGGATAAGCAGGAGAGGCTGAAGAGAAATCTGTGAGTTCTCAGGGCTGGAGCGATAGCACAGTGGGAGTAGGAAGGGGATCTGCCTTGCACGCGGCCAACCCGGGTTTGATTCCCAGCACCCCTTATGGTCCCCTGAGCACCACCAGGGGTAATTCCTGAGTGCAGAGCCAGGAGTAACCCCTGTGTATCTCTGGGTATGACCCAAAAAGGGAAAAAAAAAAGAGTTCTGAATTTCTTGCATGTACTTCATTTCTAGAGAAACACACCTCCTCCCAGCTCTCATCTGCATTCTTTAGCTGCCCAAATTCTCAAACGCTGGACCATTCTCAAACATAGAATCTCCATGTTTTACTCCATCCCTCTTGGGTTAGATGTGCTTAAAGCACTTCCTGAAGGACGGACTCTCCCCCATCCAGACGAGCCTGTTTAAGGGAAAGCCCAGGATGAGTTGTCCCAGTGGTTGGCCCTTCCCTTACCAACACTGCTGTGTCTTCCCAGCCTGCCCGTCTGTGAAAGGCAGGACAGCATTCCTCTAAGTCTGACTAAGCAGGCTCCTCTGGTGCAAGCTTTTTTAACTTTTCCCTGAATATCTTTCAGATGTAAAAACAAGTGCTAGGGAAACAGGCTGACGTTTTTGTACAAGTTAAAACTTTTTTTTTAGAAGAGATACGAATTACCTAATATTGATCAAAAGGAGTGTAAAATATATTGGAATACCTTTATACAGTGGATTGGATCGTAGCATGAGAATGTACGAACAGAAGCTATATAACAGCATGAAAGAATCTTACAAGGGTGAGAACCAAAAAAAAAAGTTGCAAAAGGACACCATAACTTTTATTATTATATGAAAGGTTTTAAAAACTCACCAAGCAATACTGTAACATTAAGTGTAAAGATATGTATGAGAAAGAAACAAGAAATATAGTGATTCTTCTCCACAAGACACAGGTTACTTGGCAAATAATAACTTGGAAGTTCTGTGAAGTCCAATATTTGCTCTTTTTGAATATTTGAAATATTTTATATAATGACTTAAAGATGATAGAAGTGTAATAGTTTTTAATACTGGTTAGTATGGAAAAGACTGAGTATGAGCCTCTTGTCTTGCTTCAGGCTCACCCCGGTTTGATCCCCAGCATCACAGCATCCCTGAAGCAAATGCAAGGGAGTGACCCTGAGCATAGAGCTGGGTCGCCACCAGCAAGGCCGGGTGTGGCCCCAAAGCGAAATCAAAATGAAATACAGCCAATTTTAAGAAATACACTTAGGTTGAATCTCATATCACCAAGTCTTCTGAAATGAAAATAGATGTTTCCGAGTAAAAGCGCGGAGGGGACTGCAAGATCCTCAGCCACCAGCTTGCTACTCTTTCTTAATTGATGGCTCTTCTCCGGACAGGTTTTGAGATCTATTTTCAACATAAGACACCTTCTGAGTGGAAGTCTACCTGTTGATTTATTTTCTTTGGCCTTCATAGAACCCACACTTTGAAACTAATGAATTAATATTTTTATGGGTTTTTTTTTTAAAGATTCCATTTTTTTTCTGGGATATTTCTACATGGCACTCACTATTGACTGGGTCTCCTCTTAAGTGGGCATCTCCTCTCCTGGGTGGTTGTCTCTGCCTAGCAGGGTTCCCTCATTTAGTTATCTTTGCCCCCATCACAGTTCCCTTTCTAACTCCTGCACTTAATCCAAATCCTCACTTTCCTAGAAGATTCGGTTTCCAAACTGCTTTTTCTTAGTCATCAGGTCACTAGTATATTTTCCCCAGAATAAATACTAGAGGGAAATCATTCCTAAGATATTTTAGTAAAGAATTTATCAGTTTAAAAGAACAGGAAGGGCAATAGTACAGTGGGGAGGGCATTTGCTTTGCACGTGGCTGACCCAGGTTCAATCCCCAGCATCCCATATGGTCCCGTGAGCACCACCAGGAGTAATTCCAGAGCATCGCTGGATATGACCTAAAAAGCCAATAAATAAATAAATTTAAAAAAAAAAAAGAACAGTAAGGGAGCCAGAGCTATCGTACAGTGGAGAGGGCGTTTGCCTTGCATGCAGCTGATCCAGGTTCAATCAGCGGCATCCCACATGGTCTCCCAAGCACCGGCAGGAATAATTCCTCGAGCTCAGAGCCTGGAGTAACCCCTGAGCCTTGCCAGGTGTGGACCCCAAAAAAGGAAAAGGAATTTAAAAATAAAGGAATAGTAAACCAGAGATGTAGCTCAGCAGTTGAATGCTTGCCTCGCATGTATGAAGCCCTGAGTTCAATACCTGACACACCAATAGTAATAAAGAGTAAGTGTTCATTCTAGGTCAGCCACCTTTATACAAATGCCTTGTTTTGGCAACACCATGGTTGAGCAACCTTCATCCCAAGGATGAGATAAAGGTCAGCCGAGAAAACTGGTTTTCCTACAGTACTGTTCTGACAATACTACCCAACAGATCGCTTGAGAAAGAGCAATTATTCCTCGCCTAATTAAAAATCTTGATTAAAAGAACGTACATCTGCCTAGCTGCCTACTGTCAGATAGAATTTTTATGCAAATTTCCTTCTATTTTGGTGGGCCTGAAGATGACAACAGCAACACGACGAGAAGTTCTTGGCCTCTACCGCAGAATATTTAGGCTTGCGAGGAAATGGCAGGCAGCATCAGGGCAGATGGAAGACACCATTAAAGAAAAACAGTACATACTATGTGAAGCCAGAACGCTGTTCGGGAAAAACAGAAACGTAAGTAGGCCCCAGTCAGAGAGTGTAAGGGGAGGAGCAGTTGGGTACTTAGTACAGGAGTTCTTTGCTATACTAAGATTGAGAGGCGTGGCGGCGGCGGCGCTCCCTGGGGTTTCATGGCTCCAGCCGGTAAGTGGCTCAGTGTCCTCAGAAAATCTCAAGAGCCAGGTGACACTGAGTCAAGCCCTGAGAGTTGCCAGGGAACGAGCATTTCTTCATACCCTGTGCCTGTCGCCAGCCACTCCCACAGGAGAGTCCCAGTCCAGAAGGTTTTCTCAGTTCTCCAGCTATTCACAACCTCCATCAGAAACCATTCAGAGGAAAGAGAATAGGCTGGAGACACAGGGTTCTCTTCATAACTTGGAGCTCAAGCCTCTTTGGCTAGTCGAATGGGTTTGCCCTTTAGGATCACAAGATTGGAGCAAATAGTGCCTTCATTAGCTAGATTTACTTGAGCGGAAGTCTACACCCAGACACCAGGGAGCCAGAAATCAGTTCTAAAAGATTTGATTTGACCCATCCCAACAAACCATAAAGCATTAAAGAAGCTGTTAAAATCAAAAGTGGCTTTTAGCTTCTGACTTCTTTTTTTTTAGCCTCGTTAATCTCATCAGTTCAGTTCTCTTCCTGACGTTTCCTGATAGTTTGCTCTTTGTTACTGACTCAGGCTCTTTGGGGCCCATCTTCTGTGTGTCTTCCCACAGTCAAGAGCGTTCCTCTAAAGGTCAACCCTCCACACCAAGGCCCAAGGAAGGCGCCAGCACTTCTTGGTTTCAGCCCCCAGATCTGAATGGCTCTCACTAGCCACTTGAGGACCTTGTCACCAGCATTACTGTCCAAAGTAGAATTCCTTTCACAAGTATGCGTCCGCTTCCCAGATAGCCTGTTTGTCTCATCACTCCTGTTACACCTCTGCTCTCATTCTTTAATCCAGTGGTGCCCACCATATACCAAACACTGCTGGACTGCTGAGGTTATCGAGTGAGCTAACCCAAGACAGGATCCTTCAGAGATGTTTCAGAATCAGGTACATACAACAGTATGTAAAGTTAGAGTTGACATATTCAAAAGAAATCCTCCCAATATTCCATATTCAGTATTTACCTCTTCTCAGAATCCCTGAATGCAGCCTCCCTGCTTTATACAACCGATCTGTTTATGCTGCTGCTCTCAGCTCTTCTGACCCTTTTTCAGTCTCTCCAAATACCTGTGTGCAGTGTCTGTCAAGCATGCCATAGCAGAGTGGATGTACTGCATGCTCTCTTTAAAGTCTTCTTAGAAATGGGAATAAAGTATTGCAATTGCTAGGGTTTTTTTTTTAATCTTTATTTTTCAAAAGTGCTTATTTTGTGATTATAAAGAACTGATTAGTATTATAGTTCCTGAATTTATATATTTCTAAAATCAGTATAAACCAGGAGATATGATCAGAAACTTTTTATTGAAAGGAGTACATGATAAAATATTAGGGGACCATTGACCTGTAGAGGTGTCATTCTCTCTTTTCTTTGCTTCATTTATGTTGGTGCATCTCCCAACCACGTTTCCATTTCTTGAGCACACAGACCATGTATTTTTTTTGCGTTTCTTTTGGACTACAGCCAGTGTGCTTAGGGTTTATTCATGACTCTGTGCTCAGGAATCACTGTCACTCCTGGCAGGACTTGGGGACCCATATAGTGTGCCAGGGATTGAGCCCATGTCAGCCACATGCAAGGCAAGTGCCATACCCACCATACTATCTCCAGGGGCCTTCAGCCCTCATTACCAAGTACCTTTATCAGAGGCTTCTTTCTGCATAATAATGTATGCAGACATAGTTTCTTGTAATCCCATTTGCAGTCGAAGCTTAATCATGAATTGTGCTGAATCCTAATATGAGGTCAATGGAAACATGGAAATTTATTCCCAAATTGGACATCAGAGCAAAAACTTCTGAGAAGCAGAAGTCAGAGAGCTTAGCCTCTTCCCCAAGAGAGACAGCTGTGGTTGTGTGCATTGTAATTTCTGGAACCCTCCTCTCTTCCAAAAGGTACAATAGTGTAGGAATGCCTTGGAATTTCCAAACCGCCCCAGCCTAGACTTCACTGTGTGTGTCATCTGGAACTGATGCAGTCCCAGCACTGTTTTGAGACCCACTTGGAAATTCTTAGCAGAGACTTATGTTAATTCATTTTCTGTCCTCAGAATAAAAGTGTTTTTCCCCTTATCCTACTTGGCTTTATAATTTTCATAGTAAACTTATCCCTTTACATGAAACTGTTCAACCACCATTTGACTATTTTGGAATTTCAAAAGCCATTTACTAATGTACAAGGAAGTTTATAGTTCAAAACGAAGTGGCATCTTATGTAGGGAGTTTCCAGGCAGTATTTCCTGAAACATTGAGTAAAAATTTTATCAACAGGGGCTGGAAATGATTATAACAGCGGATAGGGCACTCACCTTGTATGTGGTTGACCTGGGTTCAATCCCTGATATCCCATATGGTTCCCAGAGCACCTTCAGGAGTGATTCCTGAGCTCAAAGCCAAGAGTAACCCCTGAGCATTGCCAGTTGTGGCAAAAAAAAATTATCAATATGGCGGAAGGTATGAAGAAGCACTCCTTTAGCATTTGTGAGAACATAAGATAAAGATTATTAATGGGGAATAAATTGGTGCAACTTCTAGAAGACAGTTGACTACAGAAGATATGTCTGTGAGAATTTGACCAGAAAGTTTGCTCTAGAGATTTATTTTTTAAGATGAATTTGCATGTGCAGAAAAGATTTTTGAAAAGATCCATAATAGAATTGCTTATAATGGTGAAAGATTGGAATGTCCAGAAATAGATTAAATTATAATACAGTTTTGTGTTGGAATCTTGTGTAGCTGTTAAAAAGAATGGAGGATAGGAGCCAGAGTGATAGTATAGTGTGATCCCTTGAACCCCTCCAGGAGTGATTCCTGAGCACAGTGCCAGGAGTAAGCCCTGAGCACTGCTGGGTGTGATCCCCCCACAAATCCCCAAACAATATAATCCCTACAAAGACAAACAGGAAACTACTGATATTTATTCTTAAAAAGAGGACTTGAGAGATGGAAGAAAGAGTGTTTGTTGTTTTACAATATATTCTTTTGTACTATTTGATTTCTTTTTATTTTGTTTTGGGACCGTAAGTGGCAGTGCTCAGGGCCTACTCCTGATTCTGTGCTCAAAAGTGATCCCTGGTGGTGCTTGAGGGACCATATGTGGTGCAGGGATTCACACCAGGGTCAGCCACCTATAAGGCAAGTACGTTACCCCCTTACGATCTCTTCAATTAAAAGTTTAATGATAGCAAATTTACATTAATTTGCTGACTTTTGAGATCAGAAAGATCACCTCCGTGGTAGAATATATGGTGCCTGAGTTCCATTCCGGGCAATGCCTGCCCCAACCTGAGCACCAACAGGGCTAGCCTTGGGGCCCCACCAAGCACACCGTTGGGCCCTACCACTGAGCCCTAAGTCCTTGCCAGACCAAGCATTCTCAGGAGGTGCTCCCGCCCCCCAGCACTACCTTGCATGGATCCTATAAAAATTTTTTTCTTTTCATTTTTCAAATTACCAGTACTTAACTTGCTCACTAGTAAACTGTTAAGAGTTTAAGAAAATGTACACGTATACTTTATGTAGCATTAGAAAAAGGCTAACTTCACCTCTTTTCCCCTTGACAATAGCTCACAGATCCAGACTTGATTAAGCAATGTATAGATGAATGCACGGCCAGAATTGAAATTGCTCTGCATTACCAAATACCTTATCCGAGACCGGTAAGTATGACTTCTCTTAACATGTGATAGGGACTTATGCTTGTCAGCCTATTTGTTCCCAAGAATATAATTCTAAAAAAGGCTGCGTTTGCTGGGAAGTGTGTAGAGTTACTGAGGTAGGCTTGTTGAAAATAGACTATTCCAGTATGCCACCAAGCCATCATAGCAAACTCAGAATCCCTGATGATTGATTTCTTTTATTCTTTTACTTGTACTGCTTTCCCACTCATCTGGATAGATGACTTTTTCTTTTGACTTTCATTTTTTTGGTTGAAATTCTTTTATATTCTTTTATCTTAATATAAAAGAATATAGGTAAAAAAAAAAGCCCAGAGGACCAGTGTGATAGCTCAGGTGATAGAGCACAGAGCATGTGTGAAGCCCTGAATTCAATCCCAGGCTCCAAGTAGCCTCCTAAGCCCTGCTAAGTATAGTCCTGGTGGCCCCTGAGCATTGTTGATTGAGCATTACTAAGACAGCCCAACATTGGTAGGGGTAATCCCTAAAACTGAGGGTTTTTAATAAGTATTTTTAAGTTTGAACTTTTAAGGAATGTAAAAATTGTTAAATGAACATTGTCAAGCATTTTAATTTCGTGGAAATAATCGTTCTTAGGTTGGGCCATATGAATTTGCAATATCCATCTCAAATGACAAAACAATTTTATATTCTAGGGTCAAAATAATAGTTTAGTAATATTTCCTGTAAGTCTTTTTATTTATATAATTATGCTATGTGATCTATAATCATTTTTCCTTCATATAAGCAATATATCAAAGAAGAGCACAAGTTCTGGAATTACACAGGTTCAAGGTTCAGATTCTGACTTTACTACTTAATATATTTTTAATAACTTCTAAAGTTCTGAACTTCTTCCACTTTCGTACCTGAAAATATCAGAAACTCTTTATGAGGTTATTGTGTAGGATTAGTATGTGTAGGTATTGTGAGAATTAATGAGTCATGTAGATTTAACACTTAGCAGAGTATAACAGCTGGTACATCCTCAATGAGTATAAGCCGCTGCAATGATAATTTTTAATATTGTTAGCATTATCCTTTTACTCTTCAGATTCATCTGCCTCCAATGGGTCTTACCCCACTCCACGGTCGACGACTTCAAAGACAGGAAAAACTGAGGAAACTTTCCAAACCAGTGTATCTCAAGTCTCATGATGAAGTTTCCTAATCCAGAAGAAAGTTTATTTCCAAGAAAGATGAGCCAATTAAGTCTTGAATGTAAACCAGATGACAAAACCCTTCTGGATTTGGGTCAGAATCCAAATATGTAATTTAAATCTCCAAAAATATTGATATTCTCCCCCCCATCCCGTATGAATGTTCATAATCTCTCTGCAGTTCCTATCTCTTGGCTCTGAATGGCTCACACCAACTCTCAAGGTCCTGGACCCCACATCCTTGCTCAAGAATCACTGGGGAACAAGACAGGTCTACAGGAGGAAGATTTCCAAGGACGTTTTTTTGGGCATCCCATCTGCCAGACATGCCACTGAGATGAAATTCATTGCTGGCGGTTGTCACAGCTACTATGAAATTTATATGCCACCCTTGGAAAATTTAAAACTCAAGTTATAGATTTGCTTAAAAAGTGGGTTTGGGATACCAAAGATTTAGTCCAAGGACTAAGGCACCTACCTACCTTGCACAGAGTCGGGCGTAGCCTGACCAAAATGACACCTCCCCGAAATAATTGGGGTCTCTGTGTGTCTGCTTTATGACATCTTTAATACACACACACACACACACACACACACACACACACACACACATAGATTAAACTTCCAGATAAATCACCTTAGAAAAGTGCATCATTAGATTGATGGTGGTTTTTCATAGAAATTTTATGAGACCTATATCCCCACAAAGTGCATGTCTTAGTTAAGTACAGATGTTTATCTTAAAAGTCAGAGTGTGGGATGGAGAAATAGTACAGGTACTTGTATTATGGTTTGAAAAACTCAACTACTATATTCATTATAAGTGCATTACTTACATAAAAAGTACAATGGCAGGGCTGGAGCAATAGTACAGTGGGGTTGGGTGCTTGCCTCATGCATGGCTGACCATGTTCATTCAAACCTCAGAACCCCCAAGCTACGGGGCTCCAAGTTCCACCCAGAATAAGTCTTGAGTATACCTGCGTGTGTCTCAAAAATCAAATAGAAATGGGGAGAGGGGGGTAATTATTTGGTCCCCCCCAGCATCACCAGGTACAATTCTGAGCACTGAGTTGCCTTCAAGCACCTTTAGGTGTGACCCCAAAACCAAAAGTAAGTGGGACAAATAAAGATTAAAACACAATTTCAATCCTGACGTGTCCAGTGACAAGTCTTATTTTTACTTGTCACTGGGTGTCATTCCCTATTACCTCTAAAGAAGAGGTAGGAATACCAATAAAGGACAACTTGTTGCTTTCAGTCTATTTTCGAAAGTGGCCACATGACATTGTTGAGAATTTCCTACTCACACCTAGATTCCCTTGGCCCACAAATCTTGTGTTTCAACATAAGCCTGAGTTAAGGCCTGGGTTTGGTTTAGTTTGGGGGTGGAGGGTAGTAATTTGTCTTGGAGGTTTTCTTGTTTGCTTTTTGTGATTGCAAAGTATGTGATTTTCCACTGAACCACATCCACATTAATATATTTCATTCTCAAAACCTGCTCCCATAATAAGCAGGAGTATACTGTCTTCACACTGTTAGCATTTCAGGTTTTGGCAATAATATACATTATCAGTGGAGAAATAGCATGTTGAACACAAAAGTGGTCTTCGGTGAAAGAAATTTTAATGTTTGAAATGTGCTAGCAGGTTGTATGACCACTGGGTGAGCATACACCCTAGCCTCGCTTGAGTCAAGGTGTGAATCTGCTGCTCATCACTTTCCTTCCATTTCGGCTCATGGAATCATTTCCCTGCCCGAATGATGGAGTCTTTAGTGGTCATTTCTTACATAACATAGAGCCTGTGGGCCACGGCAGCTACTTCATTTCATAGTCAACCAATGAGACTGATCTGTTCTTGCACTGGAGGGAAATCTGGCTGTGGACGGAGGGAAATAGCTTTCTAAGTATGGAAGGTGATTCTGACTCTTTTTATTTTTAGTCTTACTCTGTCAAGTGTAACAGTCGCTCTTCCCACACGGCCTCATCCAAAAGCTAAGTAAGTCTCCCTTGTGTTGACCTCAGGTCAAAAAGCATTCAGTTATTTCACCAGTTTTACTGGTGAAATTTGGAAAGTGCCATGTCATGGCATGACACTCGTGTACTTCCCCTGGAATCAGCTCTGCAGTCCCTTTGGGAGTGGTCCCTGCTGGGGAGAGAAAACTTCCTTCTTCCACTAAACGAAGTAACACTAGAAAGCAAATAAGAATTATAAGCCTTGATTTGGATACTATAGTTTGCTACCTTCTTACCTTGTTTTAGTACGGTTTCTGTAATTTCCACTTTTATGGATTCTGAGTATCACCTTTGCCAGGAATGCTACCTAAATGTGAATTTTATATGCCCAGTTTTCTTTGGAGAGATGTTAGATGCTATTACATAAATATATAACTGTCATCTTATGACTAAGTCTTCTGTTTAATCAGTTTCATTTATAAAAGTTGTCTCCCCAATTTCTGACTATGAAATCATCTTTAGACCTTTAAAGGCAAAATCTTCCCTACATCCCTCTTCAATGAAATTTATCCTAAAGGTAGCAAAGACCGAACAGCCAGATGTTTAAAGAGAAAGTAGTTTGGTGACAGGTTTGTCTGATTTTATTTATAGAAAAGGCTTGCAGCTGCTCAGCAAGCTGATTTCTGGCCATCTTTACTCAGGACTTTTAGCCTCTAATACCAGGATTTCTGAAGAACATACCACTCTTTCCCAGGGGGGGCGTTATTAATGACCACACTGAGCCCAGTGGAAACTGACCTCAAATTTAGGGCAATCTTTATTTTCAAAGTAGAGGAAATTTTTTAAATTACAAAATTTAATCCATTGTAGGGAAACACTCTGTCCCTTGACCCCTGAGGAATGAGTCAGTCCCTGCCTCCCTCAGCCTTTTTGTTAAACTGGAATTTGATAACTGTAATTAATATTTAATTGTTCTGTTAGCAACTCCCTCACTGCCTCAACTGCTTGCAACGTGGTTTACCTAACCAGGTTCAGAGATTTGGAATTCAGACCATCTCTCCATCTCATTTGACTGACAGTCTTGGATGATATGATACAATAGTAACAGTGACCTGTTCTAACTTTCTTTTCCCCATTGGGTGGGAAAATGTGTTTCTTGAAAAAAACAAACTATCTACTTGGAGCTGAAAGAGAGGAACTTCTCACTATTTCATTGCCACTGGAAAAAATATTGAAGAATCTCTTTTGCTAACGGAGATTGCTATAATAATAATAATAACTCTAGGATCACTTATGATTCTCAGATCTCAAAATTCAGGTGTTAAGTCAAAATTTGACCACCTCCGTATCCCCCATAATGCTTATTTGGTTTTATAAGCATCTCACATGGGACAGGGGTGGAAAGGGGGGAAGGACTGTCCTAGAGACAGAAAAGCCAGTCCAGATACATCGACTCTTGGCCTTACATCTTTGCTCAAATATGAACTGACCAACGGAATGTCATGAAAAGTCACAAAGAGCTACATAAGAGAGTTGACTGAGAAGTATGTCAAGAATTTAATTTTTATTTCCATTAGAAATTTATTCCAGCTGCCCTTGGAAAGGCCATAATAAACTAGAAATTTCTTAACTATGTTTGGTGGAGTTACACATCCCTTCTAAGACTCCACATCAGCCAGCCAAGTCCTCAGCAAGGAAATAACAAGTGATAGTGGAAAAAATGCATGAATTAAAGAATGTAACATCTCAGCTGAAAACCTGACTCTGCAATGTGAAGATCTGGGTGATGCCCGGCAAATTACTGAATTTTCCTGAACCGTCAAGAAGTAATTTATAACCACCATACATGAACACTGGGCACTGCCCATGGCACACTGTAGGCAGGCAACAAAGAGTGGTTTGGGGGGCTGGTGAGACAGCACAGCAGACAAGACACTTGACTTGCACGCAACCAACCCATGTTCTATCCCTGGTACTGCCTATGGTCTCCCAAGTCCCAGCACAAGTGATCCCTGAGCTCAGAGCCAGGAGCTCAGTCCGGTATGGCTCCAACACCAAAATTTTAAGAAGATTCTCATGTCACCTTTCTTCTAAGCCCAATGTGTGGGCTGGTAAGAAAAGCTTTTAGATCCCTGGCTGTTAATACTAAAAATGCAATCATGTAAACATCTAATTGGCTTTATTAAATTATTCAGCAAGTAGAAAGGAACCCTAAAGAGATACAAAACGGAAAGCGTGGGGCAGGAAAGATATAGCTCAAACAGGTGGGCATACCAGGAGGTCTAGGCTTAATCCCTGGCACTAATGCTGCCCAGGCACTCTTGGGTGTGGCCCCCAAACCAAAGGCTTTCCATGGCTAAAAGATGGTGAGATGGAGGTGGGGCGGGGGTGGGGGGTGGCAGCAGGGGAAGATAGTGCAGGAAAGGTTGTTTTTTGGTGGGAAGGGGCTTTATTGGCCAAATTACCTCATTAGTGCTGAGTACAAAAACAACAGTTTGCCTCTTTAAGGTTATGTTTCTGGGAAATGTTGAAACTACTAAATGTAGATATTAAATTTTGGCTTTGCTGACAGGGATTTAGCACAGGTAACCCCATCTTGGACCTGCTATCTCAAACAGGTCTGCCACCAACCTGCTGTGGAACTTTGAACTTGGGTTCATTTTTCCAAGTCTTCATTTCTGTATCTTTAAAATGGTGATATTGAGGTATCTAGCACATAAGATTGTTGTGAGAATTTCATTTTACATATATCAAAACATTTAAAAAGATAAAACTTTAAGAAAGTGGTTCATCAAATCTTGAAAGCAACAAGCTGCAGAGATGCCTCTAGACCCCACAAGCCCAACAGAGCCCCAAGCAACGGAAAACCTCCAGAACCCAATCACCACCATGCTCTCAGCTGGACCCCACAGACTCAGGACAAACCTCATCCAGGAATGAATCTGTTGAAAAACTCAGATATGTAGGTATTGTGACCAAAATCTCCAGGCTTTCATGGGGTCAGGGGTTATAGATCTCCCCTCACCCCCCTGTTCTTCCTGGAGCCTGGCAGTCACACCCATGAACTGCCTCTAATTAACTAAGCTCATTAACTGGCCATGATCCAGTAACTCAAAATAAATCTTGAAAGAGCAACAAGCTGCAGAGATGCCTCCAGTCCCCAAAGTCACCATCCAGTTAAAAATTTAACTCCAGCTCTATCACCCGATTTAAAAAAAAAATGGTTGTAGAGCAACCAATCTCGATAAAGAAAATATTAACACACAAGGCTTAACCTGTAACAACACGCCAGTACCCTCTCATACAAGGGGTTAATTGCTCTAGGATGAGATACAATAGACTTCACATGCTTTTTTCTAAAGAAATCTTTTTTGATCACCTTTAACAAATTATAACAAGTAATACAAAATAAAAATAAATTATTTAAGGCCTGCTATTAGGCTTGGGTGGTGATTGGGAAAATTGGAAATAATGGTGGTGGGAAGGTATAATGATGCTGAGATTGGTGTTGGAATACTGAATGTAATAAATCATTGTGAACAGAAAAAAATAGTCCAAGTCCCTTTGGGTCTCAGAGAGGTTCTTGATATTAGCCCATGCAGATAAACTAAAAGAAACAATTGAAAATCAGTGGCAGTTAAGAAAGAAGAGAAGGAAAATAACCATAAGGGAAGTTAGCAAACAATTACAAGTCCTTGTTGGAGAATCCCACTGCCTGTGTTTTAATCAGACTTTTTTCAGTAACTGACTTAGTCTCTGTGTCATGCTTTCTATATACATACAATGAGAATAATCATAACTACTTTATAGGACTGCTTCAACATCCCTGGCTCATAGAAAGTGACTAATTAATATGTTACCACTCTCTTCATCATTATCACCACACCACGTGACTGTCAGGAAAGCTAGGAGCAGACACTTGGCTCGGGGCAGCAGGACATGCTTTGCCTGCAGAAGCCCCAGGTATAATCCCTGCCATCACAGGTCCCAGAGCGCTGCTCAGTGTGGCCCCAAAAGGAACAAAAGAAAGCTAGGTTGTGGGCAACAATAGAATGCCTTTTATTTTCAATTAGTCATCCAGCTGACACAATGACGCTACCCCCCGGTTTATCCAGTGTTTCTGGGCCCTGTCTGTTGGGAGCTCAATGGAGAGAACGTAGTTGGTGGAGTGTCCTGTGGTGGAAAGGATGCCTCTGCGGGCACTTGTTTTGTAGACTGGACACAAATAAACGTTCTCATGAACGAATGTGGAACTTTCCCCGGGTTTCAGCCAAATGATGGGCAAAGAATCATAGAGGATTTTGGGGAAAGATTCCTCGATCTGCATAGTTACCCTGTCCCAGCGAGCACCTTCTAAGAAAAGTCCCTTTATGTAGGCCCCATCTTCCGGGTTACTCTCCATTGTCGTTTCTTGTGTGGTGACCTGAAAGACAGGAAGCTGTGAGTAACATTTCCTCCCGTTTTCCTAAACGGGGCAGTACTGAGAGGTGAGAAAAGTACAATTGGCCAGTACTGTCTGCCTTATCAGTATGCATCTTCCAGGACAAACACTGCTTCTGCCTATCATGCTTAGGTCAGGTTTGATTCCGAGTGAGTGTTCTGCCCTAATATAAGGTGAGCTTGGAGAAAGCACTAAAGTAGGAGTCAGGATGCCACATGAATTATAACTAGCTTGGTGGCTTTACATAATCCTTCCCCTTTTGAGACCTGGATTCATTTTTTTTTTAAAGTAAAGGATTAACTAATTAAAAAGACAACAGTAACTTGATCATTGTATGACTGAAGCAGGAAAGTTTGTAAGTCTGTAACTGTACCTCATAGTGATTCACTAAGAAATAAAAACAAAACAAAACAATAACAGTACAATGCAAGGAGAAACAAAGTCTTGATAGGTAGTTTTTGTCAATTTTGAGTGTGTGAAAATGCCTACTGTGATCAATTTCAGGCTGCCTACTGGTAATTATTGGTTCTGGCAAGCTAATATAAACCAGTTCAGCCCACCACAGTTTAAATTCAGAGATGTTAGACTCACCCTTCAGGTAAATGCAGAAAATGAATCAGGTGTAGGGGAATCAGATGGGGGTAGATTATGGTGGGCCCATGCACATGATCTATTTAAAATCATTTTTGTGATTAATCTTTGTTTATGTGAACAGAATTTTTCCCCAATTGTACTCTACTTATTTCTAAAATTAGGAAAGACTAATAATTTTTATATAGTTACTCATATCTAATCACATTACAGATCCTTTTATTTATCTTAATAGGTGTTACTTTTTGTTTCCTCATATTTCTCGGGACATAATCATTTCCGTGAAGGATAGTTCTGCTTTTCTTCGCAACATTTATCCCAATTCTTTTCTTATTGCATTAATTTTTGCTTAACAGTATCTTCAAAGGCCCATCAAATTAAGTTCATTCATAAACTAAATTAAAACCTAAGGCAACCAGTTTGCAGTCTACTCTAGATGATTGCTTTAAATTTTAAATTCTACAGTGTTTTACATAACAGTCCATCATACTTCTTTCCCTATGTGGATAAAATGATTCTTCCAGTTCTTTTGACATCGTTTACTGAAAATAAGAGTCCACCATCCTCAACAGACAGTGTAAGCTTTCTTTTTTCTTGGTAAAATGGCGGAAGTTTTCCTTTGGAAATTTTTCTTGATAGATATATAGAGACAAAGCTTTGGCAATCCTATGATTCTGTCAAGAATAAGTTAGAGCTACTTTAAGACATGATCAATAGAACATTTTTGTCATTTAAAAAGCATTCAGGCCTCAACACTTCCAAATGTTTGAGCTCAGAAAGAAATGGGCAACACTGATATCTCTGATGGCCGTTGTGGCTAACCCAAAGTACTCCTACCTCAAACTCAAATCCAATGTGGTCGATGGGGATGGTGTACTTCCGGGAGTAATTCTGAGACACGCCAGTCAAAAAGGACTGTGTGAAGTAAAATCCAGAGATCCAAAAGACCACAGGGGGCCCATGGTCAATCCATTCCTGGAGAGTTGTGGAAATAAAAAATCCACAATGAACATCACATCAAAGATAGTTCAATCAAAGGCAGGTAATAGAAATAAGTCTCATAAAAATTCTCTCAGGACCAGAGAGATAGTGGGGAAGGCATTTATATGCCTTGCATTAAATGACCCAAATTTGATCCCTGGCACTGCATATGACCTGCTGTCCCCCGCCAAGAGTAAGCCCTGAACACAGAGCCAGGAGTATGCCTTGAGCACCACCGAATATGGCCCCCAAACAAAACAAAAAATTCCTCTTAAGGGGGCTGGAGCAATAGTGAAGCAGGTAGGGTATTTCCCTTGCATCTGGCTGACTCGGGTTCAATCCCTGACACCCTATATGGTCCTCTAAGCCCTCCGGGAGTGATCTCTGAGCACAGAGCCAGAAGTAACCCTTGAGCACTGCCTGGTGTGGCCAAAAAAACATAACAAAAATTCTCTTGAGGTAGGCTAACCTTCTCTTGGTTTAGCTTATAATTTTGACCTATGAAATAAAAATATTACTTAAGAGGAAAAAAAGCACACTGGGTCAGAGCAATAGTACAACAGGTAAGGGACTTTCCTTGAATGTGTCCCACCTGGGTTTGATCCCCAGCACTCCATATGGTCCCCCAAGTACCGCCAGCAGTGATTCCTGAGTACAGACCCAGGAGTAATCCCTGAGACTGCTGGTTGTAGCCCCCAAACAAACAAAAAAGCACAGGTTTTTTTTACAGACTGATGTCAGTATGGGGCTGTGCAATGAAAATATGTGACTTGTCTACACTGAGCAAGTCACTCACTTCCAGCATGGTTGCCATGCAGAAATGCACGTCCATCATCTAGGGTTCTCCTTTTTTTTGGAAAGAAAAGAAAACAAGTCAAGCCTAGATTTTTATGCATAATAAATAATCCAATGTTACATGCACGCTCAGAACAAGTTGAATTGCCAAGGAATCAAACCAAATATATCTAGTAGCCAAATAAGGCCCATTAGCCAACAGTGTGACTTGAATTCTTGTTCCTACTTCTGTGTTCCTTCTGACCTCAGTTCTGAGGAGAGGGAATCCTAAGGGTCTCTGTCCAGGATACTCCCTGGCCACGTGCCTTCTCCCTCCGCCTCTTATCTGTCAGTTCAGGATTTCCTCTCCACCTCAGTGAGCATTCCAGGTAACATCCTGCTTCCCTGATTCTCGATACCTGGAAGAAGGCCAGGCGTGCCAGTAGGTCAGCTACATAGCCCCCGAGGGGCTTGAGAGATGGGTATGATTTGGACATCCACATGCCTGGCACTTTGCCCATGATCATACTATTGAAGACATCCTCCAGCTCTGAGGACATCAGGACCTGCCCTTTGATGGCCCGGCCAAGATCAATGAGGCTTCTGCGAACCACTTCAGTTAGCCTGTAAGAACAAACAAACCAGCTCAATCTGACTTTCTCAGGGTCATCCCCACTACAATGATTCTAGATCTCCTTTTATTTTTAACACTTCTCCCTCCCGCTCCCCACCTATTCTTTTAAAAGGTAAGAAAATTTATATTCTAGGTAGGAAAGTTATAAAAACAAAAAATATATATATCAATCACTCATGATCTCATCACCTGCAAATAATTTTGAAAATATTTTGATTTTTCTATAAACCTTTTCAATCGCATACTATATTATATTTTTATAGTCTGTTTTCTCTCCACACACTTGGATGAGCTTCACGCATAAAAGAACTGGCAGAGGAACCCAGGTGTGTGGGACCCGGGGCTGAGATCTCCAAGTCTGCACGGTTTGGGACTGGACCTGCCAGTGCTAGACAGTTACACCCAACAACTGCTGTGTAACCCCAACAACAGCCAGGATCCAGAGATTATCACACTCAGCTCCCGGAAGCTGAGACATCTTATCATCTTATCATCTCATTCTTACTTTGAACAAACTGGCAGGCTACCGAATGTAACTGGCCCACACGGCAGAGTCTGGCAAACTCCCCGTGGCGTACCCAATATGCCAAATACCAGTAACAATGAAGGGTCTCATTCTCCTAACTCTTGAATATGGCACTTTTTTAAAAAAAAATCTCAGGGCTAGGACGAAGGAGACGTTACTGGGGCCTGCTCAAGGCAATCGACGAATAACAGGATGGTTGTGATATATTGTGATTGTTGTTTTTCTCTCAGTACCCAGACAACATATTTCCAATTCATTAGAGACCAAAATCATCTCTTTTCATGACTGCAATGTTAACTATTCCCTATTGATGAAACGTAACTTCTAGCTTGTTGTGACTCACTGGAACATCCATCCATACCAATCTTTAGAAAATTTTTTTATCATTTTTGTACTAAAAGTAGGATCTAGGTCAAAGTGCAATGTGCATTTTTAAGAGTTTTGATCCGCACTGCCAATGTTGTTCTGTTTGTAGACTAGGAGCAAAGGCACATCTAGCCAAGCCCTTCAGGAATTCACCTGAGAGTGCCAAAGAATATGACAATAGGGAGAAAATGTCATCTCCAGGGACTTAAGGAATTCCAGTCAAATGGACACAAGAACGGTCAAAAGCAAAAAAGGATTGCTGAGTATCTAACCCCTAAATTCATTTGATGAGAAATTTAAAGTCCAAACATTTGCTGTATGTGCTTGGCAGAAGAGTGAAGGGGCTGTACTAACATCTGAGGGACAGACCATGGATCTCTATTAACCTGAAGACCTACTTGCACATGTTTTCTTTCATATACAGCTATAAACTCTTCTAGTATCAAGGTTTATAAGCACCCAAGAAGAAACATTTGTCCCAAAAGGCATACTGAATTAGAAACTGAACATCCTTCTACTCACTGGGGCTCCTCATACCACTGGGTAAAATTAAAAAAGGAAAGATATATCTCTAGATAGATACATACATAGACACAGGTGTGGATATACAGTGGAGAGAGGAGTATGTGGAACCACTTGCTAATGTGACTAATCTTGATTGCCACTGGAAAATAAGATTACTGCTGACTTGTCATTTTATAATTCAGCAGCTACTGGTAACGGATAGTGAAGGACCTTGGAATAACCAAGAAAGACCTGTAGTAACCATAGGGGAGAATTATTAACAGAGGAGGAAAGCCATTAGACCTCATATCTGGGTGAAGAAGAACCAAGGCATATGACTCAGTAGTTCCACATCTAGGTTAGCACCCCAGTCTTTGCTTGGTCACTTTGCTTGCTTACTCTCTTAAGTGTCTAGAGAGTAACTCTAAAACTGGGGAAGCCAAGGAACTCATGAATGATGTTCTTCAGTATTCTTGTTGTTCAGACACAAGGGTTGCCCTAAAGCTGAGCAGTGAACTGTGAGGCAAAAGGAGGCACAGAGTATTGGCATCAGCCGGAGTCTTGAACTTGGAGGCAAAGTAATGAGTCTCCTCATCTGGCCTAGATGGTCTCTGAGAAGCCTTTGTTATTTAGAAGTCAAATCTAGGTGATTCCAGAGGGTTCTATGGTATAATAACAGAGGAGGTGAGGGGGAGAGAGAACGAATCACAACACTCCCTCCCTACCTCTATGGTAGACAGAGGTAACTAATGAACTTCTCACCCCTTTCTACATTTATCCTGACTTGTATCATGGCTAAGTTACATAGGTTCTGAAATCAAATAACCAGGGTTCAAACTCAGTTCTGCTACAAAATTATCAGTATGACCACGTGAAAGTTATTTAACCCTCTTAGGTTAACATCTGTGAAACTATAACCATAGGATTACTAACTTCATATTCCAAAAGAGTTGGGATTGATGTACAGTGCTTGGAATCATATCTGATACTAAGCTAAGACTCAATAAAAATAGACTCTAATGATTACTCTTATTATGTGACTGGTGTCATAACCTCATCTTATGGATGTCAGGTGACATAATGAACAGGAGAAATAACTGTGGACATATACATGCTGATGGGGCAGACCAATTCTTTCGTATAGCAAATCCTTAGCAGTGTCCATCTCAGTTGCTGTCCAGGAGATGCAGCCCCCTCATACTCCCACCTCTTGCTGACCGTAACAAGACCATCTGACCCACCTGTTGAATCGGATGAGCTCCTGCCGCAAGACTGTGTTCATGGATTCCTCATAGACCACCGGGTACATGTACATAACCATTTCCAGGTCAAAGTTGTTAGGAAGTTTGGAGAGTATGTCCTGGGCCAGTTCCTCAACCACTTCCTTAAAAAGCAAGCAGCAGAGGTGAATGAGAAGACAAGGGATAATTGGCAGTGAGCATGTGTCTTCTTTGTGTGTGTGTGTGTGTGCGTGTGGTGCAGGAAATCAAATTCAGGGCCGCCCACATGCAAGGTCAGCGCTGAGCCACAGTCCCAGCCCTGAGAATTTTGTAAACATTATCTGTTGAACCTTCTGAGAATCCTCTGTAGAAACCAATTATTTCCAAATAAGAAGCTGCTGCTGCCCCCACCCCACCCCCCAACACTTGTACCATCATTCTTTCTCCCCCAGCCCCATTAGGAAACACATCACTCCTTGCATTAGAAAGTGAAAAGGCATGATACTCTCCATGTCCATCAATCTATAAGCAAATTTCATGACTTTATTTTTCCTGGTGGATGCATGATGGACATGAATAATATCGTGCTGAGTGAAATAAGTCAGAGGGAGAGGGACAGACAGAGAACGATTGCACTCATTTGTGGAATATAAAACACCATAGTATGCAATGATTACCCAAGGACAGAAGAAATAAGGGTCAGGAGGAAGCTTGCCACAAGTGGTGTCGGGTGGCGGGGGGGGGGGGGGGGGGGATGGCAGCTCGGATAGAGAAGGGACTTCTATGACAATGGTAGTTGAAAATGATCACTCAGGACAAGAACTGAGTCCTGACAAACATGATAACCTTTCAGCGTTTGTATTGCAAACCATACTGCCTAAAATTGCGGTGGGGAATGTGTCTGCCATAGAGGCAGGTGGAGGAGGGGCGGTGGGCAAGAGGGAAACTAGGGTGGTTGATACATTAGTGGAGGGACAGTGTTGGAACATTGTATGGCTGAAACCCAATCATGAACAACTGTAACTGTGTATGTCGTGATGATTCAATGAAAAAATAAAAGAAGAGGAAAAAAAGAAAGAAAAGTGAAAAGGCTGAGTAATGCCCTCCCACCTTGGTTGGTTACAGGGGTAGCCTGAGGATAGTTCTGAGGTCTGTAGAATTCCTATCCTATCTTAAGGACCTCTTGAGAGTGAAACTCTCCCATGACTCTCCCAGTCAAGCCCTTAGGACGAGCTTCCAGGATAGAGCTTTCAGTTCCAGTAGCAAAGACGCACTGAGCAAGAGAAACCCAATATGACAGCATTAGCAGGAAATGATCACTCTGGATAAGAACTGAGTGTTGAAAGCAGGTAAAGGGATAGACATGATATCTTACGGCATCTATATTGCAAACCATTCTGCCGAGAGAGAGAGAGAGAGAGAGAGAGAGAGAGAGAGACAGACAGACAGACAGACAGACAGAGACAGAGAGAGAGGAAAGGTGCCTGCCATAGAGGCAGGCTGGGGAGGGGGGTGGTTTCGGGGGATGAGAGGGAAACTGGGAACATTGGTTCTGGGAAATGTACCTGGTGGAGGGATGGGTGTTGGAACATTGTATGACTGAAACCCAATCATCAACAGCTTTGTAATGCTTTAATCTCACAGTGATTCAATTTTTTAAAATTAATACATTAAAAAAACAGCAAGTGAAGAAAACAAAAACCCAGGGCAGTGAGCCTCCATGAAAAAGCCAGGCCTTCATGTAGGAGAAGGCCTTAAGGAATTAGGAGGGGTACAACTTGGGTGGGTTGGAGCGATAGCACAGCAGGTAGGGCGTTTGCCTTGCATGCAGCCAGCCCGGCTGAGCCGGGTTCGATTCCTCCGCCCCTCCTGGAGAGCCCGGTAAGCTACCGAGAGTATCTCGCCCACACGGCAGAGCCGGGCAAGCTACCCCTGACGTACTCGATATGCCAAACACAGTAACAACAAAGTCTCACAATGGAGACATTACTGAGCCTGCTCGAGAAAATCGATGAACAACGGGCGGACAGTGACAGTGACAGTGACAGTGACAACTTGGGTGAGGAAGACCAAAGCTGCCATTCACTGGTTCTGTGAGACAGGAGCCAACACTTCTTCCCACTGCGAGGGGAATGAATTACCAGGCCTTGGCCAAGGCACATCAACCACTCACATCTACTACCGCTTCTGGTACTAGCAACCAAGTTTCTAAAAACAAATACACAAGACCTTCATCTGAGAGGGGGCAGGTATGGAGAGTAAGATGGAGACGGGAACGGAAGGAAGTAGAGCACATGGCTGAGGAGGAGGGGGAGGCTGCAAGTTTATAAAGGCCTGGAAGAGGCCACTTCCTCAGAGAGACTATTTTGCTCTCCTCTGAACTGAGATGGACAAACCAGGTCTAACCAGCTGGTCACCAGAGGCACCCAGAAGGATCCGGGACACAAAGCACATTATGCTGGGTCAGATGGCAAAAAAGTCACTCTCTTCCAGCTGGGACCCCTTTTGCCCTTTCTTTCCTCTTGAGAAAGTCTCGCGTCGGTGCTCGTTAAACGCTCTAACAGCCGCAGCTGTGGCCCCCTTTCCTCAGCATGCTCTGGGGAGAACCTAAGAAGTGGTTGGCTTTCACTTTCTTTTTTGTGGTTCTCCTGAATTTATGGAGTGACTATCGGTTGACATTTATCGCAGTGCTGCACAGTCTTTTTAGGGCAGTGGGGAGGATTTGAGCCACAGCTGGCTACACTCAGGGCCTCTCCCGATTCTGTACTCAGGGATCACTTTTTTTTTTTTTTTGCCTTTTGGGTCACATCACACCCCGCCATGATGCACAGAAGTTACTCCTGGCTCACGCACTCAGGAATTACTCCTGGCTGCATTCGGAGGACCATATGGGATACTGGGAATCGAACCTGCATCGGCCGCATGCAAAGCAAATGCCCTACTCATTGTGCTATCGCTCCAGCCCCTCGGGGATCACTCTTGATGGTGCTCTGATGTGAACCCACCTTAAACTAGGGCCCGCCATTTGCAAGACAAACACTTCACCCCTGTTCTAGCTCCAGCCCTTTTTGTAGATAACTTTAAGTAAAAGAACATTAGTTTTAAAAATCAGGGCTGGAGTGATAGTATAGGAGATAAGCTCTTTGTCTTTCATGCAGCTGACTTAGTTCTACTGGAACCCGTTAGGGTCCCCCGAGCATAGCCAGTAGTGGTCTCTCAGAACAGAGCCAGGAGTAAGCACTGAAAAAATCTCTGGGGGTGATTTAAAAACCCAAATAAATAAATAATGAGACACACTAGTTTATTTGATTGCTGAAATAAAGAAATATGATTTTTAAGTAGCACTGTAGCACTGTCCTCCTGTTGTTCATTGATTTGCTTCAGCAGGCACGAGTAACATCTCACAACAAACTGTGAGACTTGTTGTTACTATTTCTGGCATATCAAATATGTCATGGGTAGCTTGCTAGGCTTTGCCGTGTGGGTGAGATACTCTCAGTAGCTTGCTGGGCTCCCTGAGAGGAGCAGAGCAATCGAACCAGGGTTGGCTGCATGCAAGGCAAGCACTCTACCTGCTGTGCCCATGATTTTCAAGTATGCAAATTTAAAAAGATCATATAAATGGAGGGGCTGGAGAGGTGTCACATAACTGGTGAGAGAACATGGTTTGCATGCAGAAGGCCCAGCTTACATTACCAGCACTGCATGGTCCTCTGAGTGCCACCAGCACCTATGCTGGGAGTAACCCCTGAGCACTGCCAGGCATGATCCCCTCCAAAAAAATGCATATAAATGGAGTTGAGATAATATGTGGGAACAGCAGCAAATCTGATGAGGCAGACATAGGCCAACCAATACTTTGGAAATATAGGTGCTCTTCCAGCTTTATATTGAAGATTCTCAGCACTTCACACCAAAGCACCTACTTCCTGCCACAGGGATCTGCCACGTCCCTGTGGGCATCTGCTTTGCTGGTCACCACCAGAATCCCATGTGCCCACTACAAAGAAACAGACTGGGAAACTGAGACATTTCTCTAGCCCCAAGCCAGGTTACCTGAGAGGACTTGCCACTCCCTCCTGACTTTCTCGGGAGGGTCAGCAGCACCCCTTGAAACAGCTGGTTGGTTTCCTGGTTGTCCTTGGTGATATCAGCGTTCTCGTGGAGGCCGAACACTTCTGGGTGGGCGGAGATGGGCAGGTTCCTGAGATAGTCAATATATGACTGGAAAGAAAAGCACCAGTGAACACAAAATTAGGGTCACAGAGTCCTCAGAACTCTCCAGGCTTGGCCAGGTCAGACCCAAGCAGGAATAACTCTACAGCTCCACACAAGCCACACACACACACACACACACACACACACACACACACACACACACACATACACACACACACACACGCACACATGCACACACATACATACATGGACATACACGCACACATGCATGCACACACACACACATGCACACACATGCTCACAAGCCCGCTCGCACTCTTGGCAAACACATTCCAAGTTTTTCTTATACCGTTTTTGGAAAAATGACTCTGAAGTCAGAAGGACAGAGTACCACCCCTCCCACCCTGGCTTCCTCTCAGCTCCCCACTGTTTTGACTTTGGAATTAGACAAAATGAGTTTAGGTCCCAACTCTGACAAACTGTGTCGCCATGAGCTAGTCACTGGAAGTCCCAGTCCCCTTATCTGTCCATGAGATGATAAATGAGGTTCTAAGAAAATAAGGCCCTGGCAAGTAACGTGCTCAAAAACAAATTCATGCTCCCTGGACTTCTTGTTTTCTGCTTCCCTTTCTTCTTTTCCCACATAGTTTTCCTGTCCTCCTCTTCTGCTGGCTGCTGATCCTTTGTCTTTGGTAGCAATTTCTAGCTGGTTCACTGCTGGGACATCACATTAATGACCCTTCCTCCTTTTCCCCCAAAGAGGCCCCGTATTCTGAAAGCTACTGTCTACCAAAGACCCAGCATTCATTACACAGTCACCAGGTCTCTCCCGTAGGCTTTTTGAAATGTTGAAAACTGCTTTTGTCAGTAAGCCCCAGCCTTCTCCCGCCCATCTTGGACACTGCAGTCCCTGGCTGTAAGAAGACCGCCAAGTCACTGTAGAGGGGAGAGGAGGCCCCCTTCCCTGCCCCTCACCTGGTAGGAGCCATGAGGAGGGATGTAGTAAATGTCTCCAGGTGCGAGGTAGTAATTGTCCTGCTCTATTTCCTTGCAGTAGAACGTGGACAGAAGAGACAGCAGGAGACGCCTGTCTTTGTCATCGGTCACTCTGCCTCCGTAGTTACATTCCCCTGGGGACAACGATGAAGACAGCTGAGCCCAGGGAAGGTCGTTATGAATGTGGTTTCTAACCTAAAACAGGATTCTTCTAGCTAAGGAACTCTGCCAAGACACAGGGGTGCTGAAACCAAGCTCAGCCTGGGATGAGACCAGACCTTTTCGGTATCATGGTTGCTACAGAAATAATACATATCAACTATATTAGCAAGTAGAAAACCAAGTTCAACCATGGTGGTGGGGAGGGGGGACAAACTAAGATCACCACCAAAGTAACTACTAACATTTAGGTATCTTCCAGACTGCGTGCGTGTCTGTTGGCATTACATGTAAACGGTATTTATGGGCATGTGGTTTGGGGCAAGAGTTTTGGCATGTGATAGTCATGGCTTCCCATCCCAGCTTTGCCCCTGTCTTACCAATTTCTGGCTTCTACCCTGTGATATTTATTTTTATTTTATGTGTGTAGGGGGAGGGAATTGGGCCACTGCTGCCTCTGCTCAGAGCTTACTCCTGGCTCTGTGCTCATTCCTTTGGTGCTTGGAGGACACATGCCAGGGGTTTAACCTGGGTCGATCAAATGCAAGGCAAGTGCCTTATACTCTGCACGATCTCCAGTCTCACCTTACAACATTTAATGACAGTTTCTCATTAGAAAAAAAAAAGTGGAGATAATTGGGGCAGAGTGTCTTTGTCATCAGTCACTGCCTCTGTAGTTACATTTCCCTGGGACAACAAGGAACACAGCTGAGCCCAGGGAAGGTCATTATGAATTCATACAGCAGGTAGGATGCTTGTCTTACATGTGGCAGACCCGGGTTTGATCCCTGCACCACATATGGTCCCCCAATCAATGCCAGGAGTGATCCCTGAGCACAGGTCCAGGAGGAAACCCTGAACCTGTACAGTCAGGTGTGGTATAAAAACTAAAACAACAACAAAAAAAATGGAGATAATTGCAATACCTGTCTTAAAGTTTATGATTAATAATGCTTGTCACTGTCACTGTCCTACCATTGTTCATCGATTTGCTCGAGCGGGCACCAGTAACGTTTCCATTGTGAGACTTGTTGTTACTGTTTATAGCATATTGAATATGTCACGGGTAGCTTGCCAGGCTTTGCCGTGCGGGCGGGATAGTCTTGGTAGCTTGCTGAGCTCTCCAAGAGGGACGGAGAAATCGAACCTGGGTCGGCCGTGTGCAAGGCAAACGCCCTACCCATTGTGCTATTGCTCCAGCCCTAATAATTCTTATTAGTCATTAATGTTACTTTAGTACAATAATTAATATACAGGAAGTTTTCGATTAATAGTTATTACAAATAAGTATATGTTTGCAAGCTGAGATTATCATAATCTATATTCTGGTTTAGGATATGGCACCTCCATACTCATCGTTGACATCATTTTCTTAGTCACAAGTTTCTACACTCAGATTTCTTTTATTAGTTGGTAGTGGGGGCAAGCTAGGCAGTGCTCAGGATTTACACCTGGCTCTGCACTCAGGGATCTCCTAGCAGTGGCCTAGGGGACCACACGAGCTGCCAGGGATTGAACTTGGGTCAGCTACAGGCAAAGCAAGTACCTTACCCTCTCTATGATCTCTACAGCCTTTCTACAACTCAGATTTCTGCAAAAAGAGATAGAATGAATCAACCTCACTAAAACCTCTTTCTACCTCATCCAGAATCCGTATTATGACAGTACGCTGATGCCACCTAGTCTGGGGTAGCACGCACACACATTCAAGGACTTTTCTGAAGCAGAAGTTCATCATTAATTCTGACCGGTCCAGGAACAGCAAGAGGCCGGAAACAGGAAGTATGAGCCAAGTCAGGAAAGAAAGCCTTTCATCTCCCGATCCTTACTTGGATAAGCTTAAATGTCTAGGAGGAGGAATGAGGTAGTTTGTTAAAGAAAAAGTAAGAGATTATGAGGAAGTTCAAACCAGTTGAGAATTTGAGTCCCAAAGAAAACGTCTTTATCTGAAACTAAATTCTCTAGAATCCAAAGGTTGATGTCTCCAGATCTTAAGTATCAGGTTTTGTTGTTATTGTTGCTGGTGGTGATGGTGGTGGTGGTGGTGGTGTGTGTGTGTGTGTGTGTGTGTGTGTGTGTGTGTAGTGGGAGGGCAAGCCTACTGCTGCTTGCCCCCCGACCCCCAGGAGCTGTTTCTAGCTTGGAGTTCATGGGTCACTCCCAGCTGTGTTCATGGGACTAGGCAGTGCTGGGATTGAATTTAGGTTTCCTATAAGCAAAGCATGAATTCCAGGCCTTGAGCGATCTCTCCAGCCCTTAAGAATCATTTGAACCTTATAGTTGATACATAAAAACGGTAGTACAAAGAAAGCGTGCTTTTCCCCCAACGAAGTCAACGTGTTGATACCAAAAAAGGTCCCCAAATGAAAGTGCACTTTCCTTCGGAAGATGCGCATGCAAGCTTTGGGTTTCATGTTTTGTAGAAAGGTATGTTTCTTTACAGCAATCTAGGAATCTGCTCTCTGTAGCAAGAACGCAGTTTCCTATAGGGCTCAGGGTGTATGTGCCTTAAATTTTTTCTAAATTCCTCATCCCTGCCACAGAACCGAAAGTACCAAATGAAGAATGTTCTGTCTTCCCTGGTTTAGTCCCTGGCACTGCATATGCTCCCCTGAGCACTACCAGGAGTGACCCAACAGCACAGAGCCAGGAGTAAGCTCTGAACACTGCCAGATGTGGCCCCCAAACCACTAAATAGACAATAAACAAATCAATCCCTTTGGGACAAAGAGAGAGGGAGTAAGGTGTAGACAAAACTGGTTTGCGCCCTGGCACCATATAGCATATGGTTTCCCAAGTTCCATCAGAAGTGATCCCTGAGCATGCAGTTAGGACTAAGACATGAACACTGATGGGTATAACCCCAAAACAAAACACCCCATTTTAAAAAAGAATGTTTTGACTTCAGTCTACCTAAACAAATCCCTTCCTTCCTTTACTTCCTTCCTCTCTCCCTCCTTCCCTTCCTTCCTTCCTTCCTTCCTTCCTTCCTTCCTTCCTTCCTTCCTTTCCTTCCTTCCTTCCTTCCTTTACTTCCTTCCTCTCTCCCTTCCTTCCTTCCTTCCTTCCTTCCTTCCTTCCTTCCTTCCTTCCTCCTTCCCTCCTTCCTTTTTCCCTCCCTCCTTCCCTTCCTTCCTCCCTCCCTCCCTTCTTCTATCCCTCCCTCCCTTTCTCCCTCCCTCCCTCCCTCCCTCCCTCCCTCCCTCCCTCCCTCTCTCCCTCCCTCCCTCTCCCTCACTCCCTCTCTCCCTCCCTTCCTCTTTCCCAACCTCCCTTTCTTCTTTCCTTCCCCTGTGCACCACTTTCCACTTCCTTCTTCAACTTGTAAAACTCCAACACACCCCTCAAATTGCAGTCTCTGCCTTCAGGAAATTCTCCATACACTATAGCCTTGCCTTTCTGCTTTACAAATGTTTCTTTCGCTGAATTTATTGCTCATTGGATTGTCATCTATTTTCTTACATTTTTCTCCCTTTGCAAACTATCAGCCATTAGGAGGGCAGAAATCATATCTTATCTTTTTTATTAATTTTATTACTTTTTAAAAAAAGTAGCCCAGTGAGCTTCATTAGTAAGAGCTCAGGCTTGTGGTAGGAAGAATGAGTGAGTCAATGGGAGCAGAGGTGAGGAGGGTGGAGTAGGGCGTGTATGTGTGTGCCACACGACAGCGACGAGGGCTTCGCCCATAAATACCTGTCAGGTAAGTTAGAGCATCAAAGGGCACTTCCTTGTAGTCATTCAGAAACATTTGGATCTGCCGCATACTGATCCGCAGATCAGACTCGTTGAATTCATAAGGAATATTCCAACCTGCACGAAGCAGAGAATTACAGGTTTCAGGGCTGATAACTCTTGATTTCCAGTCAGAGACCAAGATGGTGGAATATTTAAGCACCACTGTGGAGCCCCATGGATATCAGACACCACGCCAACAACTAGCCCTGACATCTTCTGCCCTGGTGGGAGGGGGAGTCACTCTGCCAGAACAAACAGCTATTCTAAAATCAATTTCCTTATGGGTCTCCCATTTGTTGTGGAAGGTGGTAGCATCCTGGAGATTATGGAGTAAGAATTAATTCACTCTCGCTGGACTACTGTGGTAAGCACAGAACTAAAAACTAACACTAAATGATCAGAGAGAGGAGTACAGGGCTCAGGCAGGCACTTGCCTTGCAAGTGACTGACCTCAGTTAAATCCCCAGCAACACATATGTGCCCCTGAGCACTACCAGGAGTTATCCCTGAGTAATGAACTAGGAGTAAGCCCTGGCTGTCCAGGTGTGGCCCCTAAATCCAAAACAAAATCACCAATGCATATGTCTAAGGCATAGTTGGAGAGTTGTACTAAGGAAGAAAGTTAGTTATGAGAATTCCCCTCTTGGGGCTGGAGCGATAGTACAGTAAATAGGGTGTTTGCCTTTCACGTGGCCGACTCGGGTTTGATTTACAGCATCCCACACAGTCCCTCGAGCACTTCCAGGAGTAATTCCTGAGTGCATGAGCCAAGAATAACCCCTGTGCATCGCTGGGTGTGATTCCCCTCCCCCCCCCAAAAAAAAAAGAATTCCCCTCTCCTTATTCATGCAAGAACTGGCCGGCCTGCCTTAAATGCCCAGTAGATCCAACAAGTGACACCAAATGTGTGAACAGGACACCAGGTAGGTGAAACCTGTGTTCATGGATGGAAAAGTGTTCCCCTAACAAAAAATCCCAATGTTGGGATATGCCCCTAGGTCAAATCGTTTAGAAGTTGTATGTAGGAGAGATTAGAGTGGGTAGCAACGCAAGCAAAATCGCACCCAGGAGAGAGTAGCCTACATAGTTCAAGGTCTGTGAGATGCCTGTGGATCGGCTTTGTGAAATACCCCAGCCCCTGCTCTTCATGAACGAACTGAATTCAGAGTGCTAACCGTCCCTAACGTCTCTGTCAACTGAAACAGTGTTCACCTGTTGGAACCAGGTCGGAGCCCAGGTGGGGGTCAGTGTATGGCATAAACGTTCTGCCTGTGAACCCACTGCCTAGGTGACCCTAACGTTTGGACAGTGCGTACATGTTAGCCGTTTTCTCTACCACTGACCCCGCTGTATGATGTTTAGTTTCCTCCTAAACACTCAATTCAAATGAAGAATGTTACAAAAGAATAAAATCCACACTCTGGTTAACACATACACACATACACACACACACAACTGGGCATTTGTGGCAACTTGCACTTTGGCAGGTTTCTAGGGGTCTGGCGTTGGTGGGAGAATGTGGGCTATGGCTGTCCCATCTGCACAGCCTTCCAGGGAAGGGGCAGGGCAGGATGGGGATGTGAAATCTCCGCTTGGAGATCCAGGAAAGGAAGAGGAGGTTGAGAAAGCATTGTGAAAAGGACAGTCGCTTTGCTTATCTAATCCAAAGAGATAGCGAGGATTTGTTCATCAGAGACAGTTTGTGGGTGAAAAAAAGATAATCCCACCTTAAACTCATGATGACAGGAAATCTGTCTCTAGCAGTCTGGTGATCTGTTCTAGCCAAGAGTCACCCAGACATTACTCACAAGGAATAGGTTATATTAATAAAGACATTTCTTTGGGGGCCTCCCCAAAAAGGCTCCTGGGGACCTAGAGGCCACTCTTAGTGGACTCAGCCTAGTGGTGTGAGCCTGACAGTTCTGATGCTCAGAGCCTGCAAGGCTAGAGGTAACCAGGGCTATAGTCAGTGGAGTTGGGGGTGCATTGTGGCGGGGTAGGGGTAGGGGGGGTAAACTCAAGGTTGCAGATTAAACTGGTAATCCTGGTCCTGCGCATGCCAGGCACGTGCTCCAGCCCTTTAAGTTATCGCCTTGCCTTTTTTTTTTTTTTAAGCAAAAGCAGGGCACATGTCGATCTGGTTCCTTTATTGTTACATTGAATGCAGAAAGCTGCCTAAAATAAAATACCTTCTGACAACTCCCTGGAAATTGGTTGATGTGCCTGCAACAGGCAAATCTATGTCAAACGAAAAGGTTCCCTAATCATATAAAATAACATAACATGAGACAGACACCCAAGAACAGTAGACACAAGGGGAGGAAGATTGCCTCATAGTTGGAAGCCTGTCTCATGAGCCGGGGCAGAAGGCAGCTGGAACAGAGAAGAGATCACTAAGACAATGATGGTTGGAGGGATCGTTCGGGATGGGAGATGCGTGCTGAAAGTAGATAAAGGACCAAATGTGATAACCTCTCAGTAATTTTATTGCAAGCCAGAATGCCCAAAGTAGAGAACGAGTATGGGAGAAATTGTCTGCCATAGAGGCCGGGGGAGGGTGGGAAAGGGGGAGTATACTAGGGACATTGGTGGTGGGGAATGTGCACTGGTGGAGGGATGGGTGTTTGATCACTGTATGATTGTAACTCAAACATGAAAGCTTGTAACTATCTCACAGTGATTCAATAAAAGAAAGAAAGAAAGAAAGAAAGAAAGAAAGAAAGAAAGAAAGTCTAATCTTCTGACATGGCAATTAGGGGTCTTGGGGCATCGTCTCTGCTCTTGACATTGACCTATTATAGAGCTGCCAGATTTACCATATAAAAATTCAGGATACTTAGTGAAATTTTGATTTTGAATAAGCAACAAATCAGATTTAGTAATACTATGGCCCAAATAGTGCATGAAACATAGCCACACCATGTTTTATTGGTGATCTTATCCAAATAGAAACAAAGACACACAGTCTGCTGCCATCTGTGTGTTCTCCCCAGATAACCCAGATACACTGTCCTCTCTTACCTAGGGGTCCAAAGTTTCTCCTCTCTTGAACGATAGCATGGAAGAAGCAAAGACCGAACAAGAGCTTTTGCCACATCACTGCCTTGTTACAGCTTAGAAAGAATGCTGGGTCCGAGATAGGGTCATTGAGGTAGGAGCGCAAGAGGTTGGCCCGAAGACCTTTGGGGGGCTCATTGGTCATCTTGACCCCATTCTGGAGAATACTCACTGGAAACTTCTCTGATGGATAGCTGGTTAACCAGAGTCTGAAAGGACAAAAGGCCCACCTAATTAGAGCAGTGTGATAAGTTATGTTGAAAAAGGTAAAAGGTAAAGGCCCTCCCGTTGATCGTCGATTTGCTCAAGCGGGCCCAGTAACGTCTCCATTGGAGACTTTGTTGTTACTGTGTCTGGCATATCGAATACTCTCGGTAGCTTGCCGGGCTCTCCGAGAGGGGCGGAGGAATCGAACTCGGGTCGGCCATGTTGGCCGCTTGTAAGGCGAACGCCCTACCCGCTGTGCTATGTTGAAAACCAATAAAAATCAGTAGCTACTATTTTAGAAGTGTCACTAGATGTCAAGCCCCATGCTAAGAGTCTGTCCCTACATCAACTTCATCCTCATTAGCACCCTTTGTGCAAGGATTTACTATCACCTTTATCAGGAGAAAGTAGAGTCATGTAGAGGTCAGATGGGCTTTCCAAAGACAGACCACATAGAAACAGTCCAACAAGACATGAACTTGGGACTCTCCGACTCCCAAGGTCCTGTCCTGTCTTGAGCACCAGGGCACAGTCGTATGATGGATTTCTTGAGCATCTACTGTAGTCAGGTACTGAAAGACTAGAATAATTGAACTCCAGGAGCGGCCAAGCTGAGCAAACAGTGTTTCCGGAATGCTGATACTCACAGAGATGCTACTGGGAGAAGAAACTATGGCTAGGCAGGAGGGAAAACACAAGTAAACAGACAGATCTAGAAAATCAAGACTCTAGGGGGGAAAGTTTTGATATATTGGAGAGAGCAGAAGTCTGCCAACTATGGCCAGGGAACTGTTTGTTTTTAAAGTGGGGCTGGGATGCAAAAGGAGAGAGAGAACACAGGGGATTGCCCTGCCACAGAGACAGGGGGGATGGGGGGATGGGGGTGGGAGGGATATTATCCATGGTGGTGGAAAATGGGCACTGGTGGAGGGATGGGTATCTGATCATTGTATAATTGAAACCAAAGCACAAAAAAATGTAAATCTACAACTTTAAAAAAAATAAAATAAAATAAAGGGGAAAAAAAAAAAGAAAAAAAAAGTGGGGCTGGGATGGGGGGAGGGGGGAGGGAGAAACAGTACAGTAGGTAGGATGTTTGCCCTGTACCCCGCTTAGATCCCGGGCAACCCATATAGTCCTTGGTGTACCACCAGGAGTGATCCCTGATAGACCCAGAAGGAAGCCCTGAGCACCACTGGGGTGGCCCAAAACCAAACAAACAAAAAGCCCGATTTTATAAATAAGGTTTCAAAAATGTTTACTCTCTGGCCCTTTATAAAATGAATTTGCTTACCTCAGTCAGAAAGGAAATGACACTGGAGATGGGCCTTAAGAATACAAAAGATTTAGGGCCAGATCAATATTATGGCAGGTCCCCCAAGAATCAGTCCTGAGAACCTCTGGGTATGAGTCCAACCATCCCCCTAACTCCCCCTTAAACCAAAAAGATGATTTTTCTCTTTAAAATATAAAAGGGCAGGGCCGCAGCAATAGCACAGCGGGTAGGGCGTTTGCCTTGCACATGGCAGACCCAGGTTTGATCCCCGGCATCCCATATGGTCCCCCAAGCACCGCCAGGAGAAATTCCTGGGTGCAGAGCCAGGAGTGACCCCTGAGCATTGCTGGGTATGACCCAAAAAAGGCAAATAAATAAATAAATAAAATAAAAAGGGGGACAGGGAGATTTAATACATATTATAAATGTTTTATTTCTTTTGTGTATGGGTGTGTGTGTGTGTGTGTGTGTATGTGTGTGTGTGTGTGTGTGTGTGTAGGAGGGGGTGTTTCTAGACACTAGGAATGGAAAGTCACCAAAGTCATACAAGAGGCGGGACAGCCAGTCTGTGGTGGGCCAGGTGGTGGGTTCAAAGGGACAGAGAAGCCATACAGTGGGGACTCGTACCTGACATCAGCCTGCAGGTCCGTGGTACTTGGCTTACTTCATACAAACCCACATAAATGGGAAACATATTACTGAAGCAATTGGCAACTTTTAGAAACTTGGACTTTCTTTTCAAACTTCGTCTTTCCATCTTTAAAATTACTAGGCAATCTTGGGCCAGAGAGATTGTACACTTGCCTTGTACGTGGTCAACCCACGTTTGAGTTCCATTACTACATATGGTTCCCCTGAGCCCCTGCCAGGAGTGAGCACAGAGCCAGGAGAAAGCACAGCTGGGTGAGCAAAGCTGGGTGTACACCACCCACTCCACTAGACAATCTCATGCCAGGGACCTGCACTCCTGCAAGCTGGCACTTAGCTATTGTGTTGGAGTAGCATCTCTTCTCCAACCGACATATGCTTGCAGCTCACCGCCGTCCCCCCCACTCTCTACTCGTGCCCAGGACTACCACACAGTGGAAAGTGGAATGTTTCTTGGCCCATCCTCTTCACTCATTTCTGTTACATGTCTGACTGCCGGAGGTACTTGTGTTTATGACTCTGGGGTTACGGTTATTACAGAAGGTTCTCAGTGTAAGCGTGACGAACCTTTTCTTCACTGAATGTGTCACTGATAGTCAATGAATCAATTCACTATCTTCAACCGAGTAACGTTAGTGGAATGAATGAAGAGTCACCTTTAAGCTTTTCCATGTATCTGACATGTGTTCTTTTTCTGATGCACTGTAGCACTGTCCTCCTGTTGTTCATTGATTTGCTCGAGCGGGTACAGTAACATCTCCATTGTGAGACTTGTTGTTACTGTGTTTGGCATATTGAATATGTCACGGGTAGCTTGCCAGGCTTTGCCATGTGGGCAAGATGCTCTCGGTAGCTTGCAGGGCTCTCCAAGAGGGGCGTAGGAATCAAACCAGGCTCGGCCGGGGCGCTGCGCCCAAAGCAAATGCCCTACTGCTGTGCTATCAATGGCGGAGTAAACCTGGTGATTCTGGGGTTAGCCTTTTGGATCAGTGCTGGGGTGACCACGTGGTGCCAGGGATCAAGATATTTTATATTCCTGGGGTTAAGATATCCCCAGTGTCAGCCTCGAGCAAGGCAAGTGCTTCAGCCCTGTACTATCTCTCTGACCCCTGCATGTGTCTTGCAGGAAGACAAATCATCTCTGGACTAATATGGCTTTGTAAATAAGCCCAAATACTTATCTATTTCCAGGAAAACATAACTAAAACGAAAACACAAACCAAGTTTTATGACAGAAGGGGGCTACACACTTTTTCTGCAAAAGACTGAAAAACAAATGTTTTAGAGGTTTTTCGAACCATATGGTCTCTGTTACAAATGCCTCTAAAACAAAAGCAATCAGAGACAATATCTGAATGAGTAGGGCTGCATTTCAATAAAACTTTACTTATGTTCGTAAGTAAGCACTAAACTGTGACATTCACATAATTTCATAGCATGATATACTGCCATTATTTGGATTTTTTTAGTCATTTAAAAATGTAAGAAATATTTTTAGTTTATAAGTTAGAGAAATAAAAAGAAGCAGGTTGGATCTGACCTAAAGGCCATAGTTGACTGATCATTGCCCTGGAATAAGAAAATCACTGAACATTTATTTGCGAGCCAAAGGGCTTTGACTTCTGTCTGGCTCATCTCATGCAAAACCTGAGGCTTAATTTGGCTGAGCTTCAAAGCTGACAAAAAATAGTTGTTTTCCATGTTGATTAAAATTCTATGGCACTCAAGAAATATAAGATAGAACAAGGTACCTAGCTTACACATAGGATATTTTTTTAGGTAAACAATACTTTAAAAATTATATCTGGGGGTCAGAGCCATAGTACAGTGGATAGGGTGTTTGCCTTCCATGCTGCTGACCTGGGTTTGATTCCTGGCATCCCAGATGGTCCCCCAAGCACTGCCAGTGATTCCTGAGTACAGAGCCAGGAGTAAGAGTGAGACTTGTTGTTACTGTGTTTGGCATATTGAATATGTCACGGGTAGCTTGCCAGGCTTTGCCATGTGGGCAAGATGCTCTCGGTAGCTTGCAGGGCTCTCCAAGAGGGGCGTAGGAATCAAACCAGGCTCGGCCGGGGCGCTGCGCCCAAAGCAAATGCCCTACTGCTGTGCTATCAATGGTGGAGTAAACCTGGTGATTCTGGGGTTAGCCTCTTGGATCAGTGCTGGGGTGACCACGTGGTGCCAGGGATCAAGATATTTTATATTCCTGGGGTTAAGATATCCCCAGTGTCACCAGGTGTGACCAAAAAAGCAAAAATATATATATATATATATATATATATCTGGAGCCTGGGAGATGTCTCAAAGAACTGGATGCATGCCTTATTTGTGGAGGAAGACCCTGGTTTCTGGCACCATGTGTCCCCCTAAGCCCTCACGGCCCCCAGTAATCAATATCTCATTTTGGCCCAAGCATCAGCTTCTCAAACTCACATAGTCAGGTCATTCTCTGGGAGTGTCCCCCAAGTTGCTGAATGCTGTTGTGGAGCCCCCCCCTTTGAAAAACAATCATATTTTGAACTTTTGGGGGGACCACATACAGCAGTGCTTGGGGCTTACTCCTGGCTCTGTGCTCAGGAATCGCTCCTGGCAGGGCTTGGGTGCTGGTGATTTAACCCAAATTAGTTAAGTGCAGGGCAAGCACCCTAACTCTGCACTACCTTTCAGGTCCCCCATATTTTAAAACTTATGACTTACATTCTGATACACATATCACCTGCCCATTCCCCCCACCCCCACCCAAGATCTTCTTACAGCATACCCTCCAGTGATATGCTAACTTCTCAGGGTTTCCTTAACACATGTTTCTTCTGCCTGAAATGGCTTTCTTGACAAATCCCTTTTTATATTTTATTTACTTTTAATCTATTCATTAATTTATTCATGATTGAGTTTTGGATTTACCTAGTGGTGCTTGGGGGACCAAGTGTCATTTCAGGGATCAAACTTGAGTCATCTGCATGCCAGGCAAACACCTTACCCTTGTACTCTCTTTGACCTAAACTACCATTCATCTTTTTAAAGTCCCTTAATGTATTCTTTTTGTGTTGGTCTTCCAGATGTAGCCTCCTTCCCCTCCCCCAACTTCCCCCTCTCCCTCTTATCAGTGCTCCATCATTCTTGTTCAAATGAGTACAAGGATTGCATGATATTGGCATGCTTCCTTCATAGGCTGTGTTCTGTAGATTGAGAACTTCTTCAGGAAAAAGCTGTATGTGGTACATCTTTGTATTCCCCACCACCAGTAGGACCATATCTGGAGTTTGAGGTTAAGGCCCAGAGTTAAGGCAGTGATCAGGGAGGGCAAGGGGGGGGGAAGGGAGGGGGCAGAATCTCACCTGAATTTGACATTGGTGCTCTCAGGAACAATCACCTCCTCACAGATCTTCTCCAGGGAAGGCATCCAACTTGTGGCCAGATGGCAATTCTGTAGCACCACCCAGGTCCCATCTTTGATGGCAGTGTTGATCATTTTGGCAGCAATAGGACCTTGACCTTGGCCAAGAGATATGGTCTGTATTCTGGAACCTCCCATGCCAAGATCATCGGCAAACTTCAGCAAGCCTGACAACGGGAAAAAAGGAATTTTTGGACAAGGTTTGGCTTGTACCATTTTAACAGTAACAGCCCAAAGGTAGGGTTATATTAAAATTCTGGACTCTGTAAGAAGCTTGTTGGCATCTGCGAATTATTATGCGTATTTTTGAGGAAGTTCTAGACTTCTGGCAGCCCTAAAAAATTAACATGACCCCTGGAAAAGGACTATGAAAGAAAAACACTTAAAAGCCTGCAAAGAAGGAACACATAGTACAATAAAATCCAGAATTATACCAAAAAAAAGTATGTAGATTTGGAAAAGAAAAAAAAGACTTCTAAAACTGGAGAGTGTTTCCATTAAAGAATAGGTACAATCAAAAGAGAATTGTGAACAATAAGATCGGCAATCCACAATGAACACCCATAGCACTCAGATTGTGGTCCCTCTGGAGAAAGACTGGCAAGATGAACTATGCGGTATATGCAAAGAAACACAAAGTAAGATCAGGGCCAGAGTGATAGTATAGCAGATGGAGTATCTGTCCTGTACACAGCCAACTTGGGTTTGAGCCTGGCACCCCATGTGGTCCATGGAGCCAGCCGGGAATGATCCCTGAACACAGAGCCAACAGTAAGCCTGAGCACTGCCAGATGTGGCCCTCAAGCAAAATAAAACAAAAATACAGGATATTGTAAAAAACTACTGGGATTTTGAGAAAATGATATAGGTACGAAGGTGCTCCCATATGATAAAGACTGTATAATTTGGGCATCAAACAGAAAAATGTGCAGAAAAATACAGTCATATTGAGATATCCAAAATATGAAATGCATGCTTTCACAATGGAACTGAAAAAGAATCTTATTGTTAAAGCAATGTTGAGGGTTACTAAGACACCATTTCATTATTCTTAAAGCTAGAAAACAAAGACAATGAATCAAACTTCTATTCTTCCTATCATTTGTGAATCATATTCATAGTAAACCATAGTGTTAATAAAGGGAAAATCTCTAGAAAAGAGCCCCTCCCAGTAGATATGGAAGGATTGAAAGAATGAAAGGAATGACTTTAAATGGCGGCTAAAGTCATTAGATCTTTTTTTTTTTTAATCCTGATTAACAATCAACACCGGAACTTAAAAATGTTTTATCAAACATAATGCCTTGATCTCACCTCCAAAGATTTAAATATAAGTGATTACAACTATTGGCCACACACTCAGACATTCCTTAACATTCTCCAGGTGTAGCCAATACTGAGAAACGTTACATTCAGTAAAAGGCTGATGGAAACTTTCTAAGGGACACAGAGGCTCACAATATCTGAGCCCACTCATCATCCTTAATCAGAAAAGAAAAGGCAACCAGATATTATGTGTCTCCTAATGTGAGGGATTATGAGACACACCATACTGTGAAGTTTCCTGGGACGTTATCCAAGCTGAATCTGATCCAGCCTCTAGCAAAGAGGGGCAGGAATGTCCTACATACACTGCTGGTTATTACTAGTGTTTAGTAGACAGAGGCCAAGGATGTTGAAAAATATCCTATGATGTACAGAACATGTGATGGTTGTATTCTCCATAACAACATTTCTAAATTGTGTTCTGAACTTCCCCCCACTTCTTTTCACCCTTCCTTGTTTCCCCCTAGTACCTCTTGTATAAATCTTTCATAGAAAGAAAATGGGGAGTGGTTGGTGGGGACATGCTAGGAAAGGGTCATGAATCGATTCCTTGTACAGAAACAAGGAACGGGTCCCAGTTCCCTTCAGTCCCCTCCTTGAAGAGGTAGGACTTGTATTTTTTGTTGTAGAGTTTCAAGGTATCTGTCAAACTTCTTGGCTATTGATGGAGGACATGAACATGTTATTTGTATTGCTAGTGCTCTTTTTATTTTCAGAAAAAGAGAAAATTAAAGCCAAGACGTCCCTTGACAAAACAGAAAACTAATCCATTCCTGTTAATAACTCATACACTCAAATGCACAACCATTTCCAGAAGAAACAAACTATTAATAGTTATTACTCCTGGGCAAATGTATCTTTCACCTCAGATTGGGGCTTCTCTGATCTGCTGACATTATAGGCTGGGTAATCTTTATTGTAGTATATATTTTTTAGCATCTTTGACTTCTATCTACTAAACACTGGCAACAAACTCCTAGTTGTGACAAAAATGTCTCCTTGCTTTGCCAAACATCCCTTGGGAAGGGCAAAATGGCTGAAGTATGTTTGCTTGGTTTTTTTCTTTCGGGTGTGTGTGTTTGGTTTGTTTTTTGGAACACACCCAACTGTGTTCAAGTCTTACTTCTAGGTCTGTACTCAGGGATGATTCCTGGCAGACTTAAGGAACAACATGGAGTGCCATCAAGGCAAGTATCTCCTGCAATGTAGTATCTCTTTGGCTCCTGAACCGTTGTTCAATATGTTATTGCACTGTTTAAATTTTTCCTCCTTTATTACATACTTTATTTATCCAAGGTTTTTTTTTTAGCTAAAAAATGAAAAGACAAGAGAAAAAAGCCTGATTGAGAAACACTTCAGAAAATAATATAGAGGTGATAAAATAGCAACCAGCATGCTAAATCAAGCTGGAGATGAGCCGTAATAAGCTTTTCAGGGAAAATATTTGAAGACGTTATCACGATTTTTTAAATGGGTAATTTAGCCATAGTAAAGTGTGTAGGATGTTTGCCTTGTTCACAGTCAACCTGGGTTGAATCCCTGGCATCCTATATGATCCCCTGACCTGCCAGGAGTGACTCCTGAGCACAGATCGAGGGGTCAGCTCTGACCATCACTGGGTGTGACCCCCAAACAAACAAACAAAACCAAAAGCAAAAACACAAAACAAAAGGAAAAAAAGGGCAATTTCTACCTTCTTTAAAAAAAAATCAAGTAACCTAACCATCCTAACCACCCTAGTCTCATGTGACCAGTGGACACACCCATGGGGGACATGATGGTGGGAAAAGACATTTACAGTTACCTCAGCTCCCAGTTAAATGCTTAGCCTTCCAAGCCATCTGAGTTTGAGATTACTGAAAGAGGCATGCAAATGTCATCCCTCCACACGACATGGCCGTGGCATTTCTCCCAATTCTCTGCCCTCACCTGCCATCGGGTCTGCCCCTGGAGACAACACAAAGATCAGTGGTGCACAACAGTTGGAGTCGTTGTAGGAGCCCTGAAGATCAAACGTTGGGGCTTCGACGTATGTGCTGCCCATGTTCACAGCAATGAACTCCCGAATGGCTGGAACAACTTTGTCGGGCCGCAGGCAGCGGAGGATCACTATCTTCTCCAACCCCTGAATAAACTTCCAATTTCCAGGGAGAATCTCCTCATGGGGCGAGGCTGAGTCATAGATGAGCTTCCACTCATCGGTGTGCTTTTCTAAGTGATCCATAAGTCCCTCGAGCTGGGGCAACGTGGAAGCACGCACGATCTCCCCCCACGACTTCTCAGACAGCCACTCAGAAGCTGGGTTGGTGTAGGGGTTGTCCAGGGCGACACCGCCAGTTAAGAGGAAGTACCAGATTTCCTCGTCCACCATATTTTTCTCTTTCAAGATCCCAATGGTCAGAAGGAGAGAGAACAGCAACTTGTCCTTCTCAAACAGAGAGCGACAGACGTTGTTGTAGATGCTAAGGGTGAAGTGATCGATGATGTACTCGATGCGCTGCCCCAGTTCGTCACTTTTTTCGCTATTGGCCAGGGACTGCACATAGAGGTTTATGAACCACATCAGGGAGTACTGGTACATGGGCTCGATGTTGGCCAGGTCAGAGATACAGAAGAAGATGGTGGAGGAGTGGGTGGCCACGGGCTTGTAGCCCATCCGAGTTTCGTCTATCATTGTTTCCGTTAATGAAGCAACCTTCTGCTTCTCGGAGATTTCCTCAGACAGCAACTTGGAGGAGGACAGGACTTTGATGGCCGTCTCGTCCTCCAGGATGTTGCCCTCTGACAAGGAGAGCACTGCCAAGATCTTATCTTCAATTTCCTTCAGCTGCTGCTTGTTCTTAGCACTTTCCACAATCAACTTGTTCTTCTTCTCCTCCAGCTCTGGCTTCTCCTTGGCGGCCACGATGCCGAGCAGTTGATCTTGGAGACCCAAGGGGGTGATCATGAAGTTGAGGAGGCAGACTTTCACTGCAACTTCAGGGAGGTAATGGGGGTTCCTCAACCGGGTCGTGATGTACAGCTTGAACTCCCGGTTGTACTCGACGATGTTCTCACCCAGTCTCATGTACTCAACTCCCTGCTGCTTGAACGTGGACTTGAGCAGGATGGGCTCAATAAAGGCATCCAGTTCCTCGCCAACATTTTCTATTAAGACAGGGGTTCCGAGCTGCAGAGCGTTTTCCAGCACTCTCACATAGTTGGAATCAGAGAACTTGATCACAGACAGCTTATTCGTTTTCTCCATGTTCTTGATCCACTTATTGGCCTGGCCCTGAGGGTCAATCATTAAAGCCCAGCGCCTGGAATTGGTGACAATGATGCCATTGTCGATGGAGAAGGAGTCGATAGGCAGCCCAGCAATCTGCCAGGCGCGGATTTTAACGGGATCTCCTAATGTGTGACTGAGACTGAAGTCGCTGGAGCCGGGGATGACCTTCTTCTTACACTGTTCCAACCACTGCTGTTGGCATTGGCTCCTATAATCCACTGTAAAGGCCCCCAGGTAAGCCACAGTCCCTGAGGACAAGAGCACATCTCCTGTCAGATTAACATAGCGGGTCCCCAGCTGCCGGGCGGCTTCCGTCCATCTCTCCTTCTCACCCCCGAGACCACTGATGAGCTTCTCTGCCCTGTCTATCTTCTGAGAGCACATATCAATATTCTCCTCCAAGCTCTTTTTCTTGACATTCATCCCTTCAAACTCATTGTTCAGGGCCTGCAGACGGTCTTCCACCAGCTTCAGCTCGGCTCGCTTGAGGTTCAGTTTCTGCATCTGGACGTCCAGCTTGGCCTCTGCCTCTTTCAGTCTCTCTCGCTTGGGAGCCACCACTTTGGCCACTCGGTCGTAGACCTCCATGGCCCGCACCCACTTGCACAGACCCTCGCAGGCCGAGGACACGTTTTTAATGACGTTTGGCTGGAAATCTGGGTGATCAATAAACCTTTCCCGGATCCGTTTCATGATCAGTGTGGGGATATTGTCTTTGTCATACGTCTTAAGACTCTCCAAGAATTTCAGATCCCCAAGAACCTTTTTGGATACTCCCCAGTAATCTTCTATCATTTTACCTGTTTGGAAGAAGAGATAGGGGGAAATTTTGTGTTACTGAGACATTCTAATGGAAATCCAAAGCTCTGTAGTAGTTATTCCTTAGACTTGGGAAGGCAGGTGGCCATCAAAGGGTTGACCTGCAGAGGGTTCGAGGTCAGAGAAAATAGCTGCATGATGGAGGTACGTCTTATATTTATCAAAACTTGATGTACAACATCAAGTTGAGAGCACTGATGCAAATTAGGGACTCAGGGTGAGGATGGCAAGTTAGTGTAGGATGAACTGTAACAAATGAACCATTCTAAGTCCAAGTAGGTGGCTTGGTGGTGAAGCACTTGCCTTACAGATATGAGGCCGGAGTGAGATCCAGGGCACCACCCCCCTGGACTGGTGAGTGCAGCCCTGGTGTGGTTGCCCTCTGGGGTCCTTTCTGCTGCCACGGAGTGTGCAGTCTCTGGCATACCACGATCAGGCGTGTGTGAGCACTAGAGTTAACGTGTATGATTCGGGGACAATGCAACAACCACGACACAGGGAAAAGAAGTGGAAAATGAAACAACAAAGAAATGGGCCTTATGGTAGCGAGTACCATTCATGGGGGGCGGGTCTTGGTGGTATGGGGCTCAGGGAGTACAGGATATCTCTGTACCATCATCTCAAGCTTACTATGAACTGTTTTAAAAACTGGGGCCAGAAAGATAGTGCAGGAGGCAAGAACTTACCTGGCTTGAAGCCACTCAGGCCCTGGTTTGCTCCCTGACATGGCATATGGCCCCCTTAACCATGCCAGCAGTCACTTCTGACTGGGAACTGAGCATTGTCAAGTATAGTCCAACATGACACCTCCCCAACAACAAACTACAAATTAATTATTTAAAACTAGAAGTCGAGGGACCAGAGTGATAGCACAGTGGGTAGGGAATTCGCCTTGCACGCGGCCTACCCGAGTTCAATTCCCAGCATCCCATATGGTCCCCTAAGCCACCAGGAGTAATTCCTGAGTACAGAGTCAGGAGTAACCCCTGAGCATATCTGGGCATGACTCCAACAGCAAAAACAAACAAACAAACAGACAGACAAACAAAACCCCCAAAAGACAAAAAAACTAGAAATCCTCACTGACAGTCTGGGCATCTCACTATCCTCAGCCCCCTTATCACTTCTCTTGACCCCTAGACTTCAGTCGAAAAAAGATCTTTTTATTTAATTAAAAAAATTTTTTTTTCTTTTTGGTGTGGGCAGCACCCAGTGGTGCTCAGTGCTTATTCCTGGCTCTATGCTCAGGGATCACCCCTTGTGGTGCTTGGGGGACCTGATGAGGTGACAGGGATCAAACTCAGGTTGGCTGCATCTAAGGCAAGTGCCTGATCTGCTGGCACTATCTCTCTGGCCCAGGGAAGTTCTTTCAACTCCTTGGTGACCTCAGTTCTGCTGTGGCCTATCCACCTATGCTGTGACAAGCACCTAGTTGACTCTGGACCAGACTGCAGGCTCATGTTTTGTATTTATTTCTTTAGTTTGGCTCTGGAGTCAAATCTTCTGGTATTCTGCTGGTGGTGCTCGAGGGACCATGTGTTGCCAAGGATTGAATGTGAGGCTCCAGCATGCACCCCAGTTCACTGAACCATCTCCCCAGCCCTTGGGGCTCATTTATTTAAACAATCAAATTAAATTTGTTTTATTTATTTTATTTATATTTTAAATTTTATTAATTTTAAGGGCTGGAGCAATAGCACAGCGGGTAGGGCGTTTGCCTTACAAGCGGCCAACATGGCCGACCCGAGTTCGATTCCTCCGCCCCTCTCGGAGAGCCCGGCAAGCTACCGAGAGTATTTCGCCCGCATGGCAGAGCCTGGCAAGCTACCCGTGACGTATTCGATATGCCAAACACAGTAACAAGTCTCATGATGGAGACTTACTGGGCCCGCTCGAGCAAATCGATGAACAACGGGAGGACCGTGATTTATTTTAAATTTATTTATATTTTATTTATACCCCGTGGTGCTCAGGGTTTAGTGATTCTTTGCTCCTGGGGGAATCACAGGCATTGCTGGGGATCAAACCTGGGTCAGTCTGGAACAAGGCGAGTCCTTAAACCCCTGTTCTCTGTATGACTCCTGGCTTCATCTTAAAGGGCTTTGATTTCCCTCATTAGCTTGATCCCCTTTCTCCCAGTATTTATTTATTTATGTTTTAGCTTTTTGGGTCACACCCAGCGATGCACAGGGGTTACTCCTGGCTCTGTACTCAGGAATTACTCCTGGTGGTGCTTGGGGGACCATATGGGATGCTGGAGATCGAACCTGGGTTGGCCACTCTTGCAAGGCAAACGCCCTACCCACTGCACTATCTCTCCCGCCTCTTTTTTTTTTTTTAATCTCAGCTGCCAGAGCCACTATTCTCTTTATAACATGCATCAAACCTGTCATTGTCTGCCTGTCCCTCAAGGCTGTGCCTCCAGTGTTCACTATAAAATGGCACAGACAGGACTCAGTTACCCAAACAGGTTATATTCAACTTTCAAGGGTGTTCCCATTGTTCTCCAGAACATCCCAGTGGAAGCCTGAAGGCAGGAAGGTCACATTTCTTTGAGATGCAAATACTGAGCACCTGGGAGATCACCTCCCAGATAGAGACACTGAGGTACCACCCAGAAAGGGAGCACTGTAGCACTGTCCTCCGTTGTTCATCAATGTGCTCTAGCAGGCACCAGTAATACCTCCATTGTGAGACTTGTTGTTACTGTTTTTGGCATACCGAATATGTCACGGGTAGCTTGCCAGAAAAGCCAAGAGAATCTGAAGGTCATAGTAAAACTCTGAAGATGAACCTGGAGAATCCAAGGCTCTTCTGGACCACACTCTAGTGACAGATTCCCTGAAGGGGCAGTCTGGGAAAACCCTCCTACAAAACCAGCTCCACCAAGACATGCGGCTACGGTCTCCATCCTGGAGATCTGCCCACATCTCAAACTAAACTGTATCTTCTGGGCTTTTCCCCACCTGGAGAAGCCCATGTTCTCCCTTGAATGTGTCTTCCTCTCGCTCCTCCCCTCCCCCTTTCTCACTTTTCTTTTCCTGCATTGTTCCAGCCCTAGTCTGGTGCCGCCTCTTAGAGGTCAAGTGGACCGCAGGCACAGGGGGACAGCTGTCTCAAGAGGCCACTGGGATGTGTGTCCACTCTGTACAGTGCTTCTAGTGGATTTGGCTAGTCCCAATCCATCCAGGGACTTCTCAGGTGGCCGAGGTGACCTGAGCAGGGAGGTGGGAGCACTCTTTTCTCAGGGCTACCTCCCCCCTCCCGATATCACTTCAGCCACCTGCACTACCTGGTGAGGTAGCTGGGAATGGGGTGACCTGAAACATTATTCATGAGCCACTCTGGGACCCCGCCTCTCCCAGTTGCAATCCCATGCAAAATCGGATGGGGCAAAGGAGCCACCCAAGCTACAATTTCAAATATTCTTGTTTCAAGTGTGCAGAGCTAGAGGGAACTCAGACAGACTTCCAGGTGATAAATCAATCCTCCATCCTCTCCTGGGGCCTGAGTGTTCTAGGTCCTATCAGTTCAGAGATTCTCTCCTCCCCTCCCCTCCCTGTTCTTGCCTCCCAGGTCCAAGTCTGTGTCCTTGTCTCCCCCTGCTCCTCCCCACTTTCCATCCTCACCTCTCTTTTGCTTTCCCTCTTTTTCCGGCCCTTCTCGATTTCCTCTCTCTCTGTGCTATCCTCCACCTTCTCCCCCGCTAAACTCATCTCTTTGATTTCTTTCCGCTCCCACTCTAGGTTTATTTGGGGTTGGGGGAAGGTGTGCCTCCCAATGTTTAGGAGACCCGGAACCACTTCCAGAGATACAGCCAACTGGGAAGGTGGTTCAGAGCAGCCAGAGAGACAGCCCGGGGCTTAAGGCTGACCTTGGTTCCATCCCTGGTACCATCAGCTTTCCTGAGCAACTCGGGGAGTGACCCCTGAGCACAGAGCCAAGAATCACCCCTGAACACACACAAAGAGACTGTTTGATCCAAGGGCCCTGCAGTGTGCTGCTGCTGGGGTTTGGCAGTGCTGGAGGCCAGAGAGTCACTTCCAGCAGTGCTGGGGGCCAGAGGGCCACTTCCAGCGGTGCTGGGGTGGGGGGCGGAGGGCCTACAGGACGACTGGGGAGCAAAGTCAGGACGTCGAGCCTGCAGGGAACGTGCCCTCAATCCTTGAGTTACCTCCCAGCCCTGCTTTTCTATGTTTGGGTCTCGGAGTCTCTGTGATGCTCCATCTCCATTTCCCTTGAGGGTCTTTCATCTCTTAGTTTTCATAATTCTGTTTCTCCTTTAGTCTGTGTCTTTCACCTTTCTTTCTGTGTCTGATATCACATGCATGAGTCTCTTCCTCTGTCTCTGTCTCCCTGCGTCTCTCTGTCTCTGTTTCTGTCTTTCTCTTTCTGTCTCTGTCTCTGTCTTTCTCTTTCTGTCTCTGTCTCTCTGCCTCTCTCTCTGAGTGTCTCTGTCTCTCTCTGTCTCTCTGTCTGTCTGTCTGTCTGACTCTCTCTCTCTCTCTGCTCTCTCTCATCCCCTTGCTGTGTCTTTTCTTTCTGCCTTCTTGTTCTTTTTTCCAACCTGATTTCTTTCTCCTATTCTCTTTCTCTCCATCTTACCATTATCCGTGCGCACGCACGCACGTGGGTGCTGGGTGTGCAAAAGTGTTTCTTTCTCAGTCTTTTTCTCTGTCTGTAGCTGTCTCTCTTTCATGTCACCCGCACCTGTCTGGGTCCATCTGCTCCCTCAGTCCTTGGGTCGCTGTGACCTTGGTTCTGTCGGGATTTGCAGGCCTAGGTCTTGGCTACACTCTGGTCCCTCTGCTCTTCTGACAGATGGGCGGAGAAGGGATGGTAAGGAAAGCCGTGAGCCCCCTGGATGGACAGCACCCTGTGCTTCCTTCTGTCTGAGATATACTGAGCGATGGGGTGGGGTGGGAGGGCGGTGGGCGGCAGTGAAGAGCTCCCTCTGTCCTGAAGTTCACAGTAGATGGGGCTGGGGTGGGGGCAGGGGGTTACCAGTGCCGCTGGGGTCCGGCTTCCTCTCTGGCTTCAGCCCTTTCATGACACAGATGCTCTCCATGACCAGCTTCACGGGGCCCGGGGGGTTCTGCATCGACTTCACCAGCGAGATGTCTGCGGGGTTTAGGGTGTCCAGCGCCGCGAGCGCTGCCTCCAGAGCGGGCATGGCCTCGGCCAGGTCGCCCTCACATTCATTCTGCGGGTGGCACAGGGACAAGCGGGATCAGCGGCCCCAGCCCAGACACTGGGAGTGAAGCAAAGCTCTAGCGAGAGCCAGAAGCCAGAAGAGGGGCTTCCTGCCCACCCAACTAACAGACGCTGCCCACCCCGCGCACTGACTGCAGACCAGCAGCTGGGAGGAGTTTGGCCCCCCTGGGGCATCTCCAGCTTCCTGGGGAGGCTTTTTTAAAAATTTAATTTTTAGGGGCTGGAGCAATAGTGCAGCGGATAGGGCATTTGCTTTGCATGCGGGTGACCCGGGTTCGATTCCCAGCGTCCCATATGGTCTCCTAAGCACAGCCTGGAGTAATTCCTGAGTGCAAAGCCGGGAGTTATCCCTGTGCATCACCGGGTATGACCCAAAAAGCAAAAATAAATAAATAAATAAATAATTTTTACTAAAAACATTGTGATTTACAAAGTTGTTCATGATACAGTTATTTCGAGCATTTAAGTGTTTCAACACCACCAGTGTGACCTTCCCTCCACCAATATTCTCAGTTTCATTCCAATCCCAACCTGCCCCCTTAGGCACATAACAAATTTACTTTTTTTTTTTTTTTGCTTTGTGGGTCACACTCCGCAATGCTCAGTGCTCAGGGTTTACTCCTGGCTCTGCACTCAGGAATTACTCCTGGTGGTGCTTGGGGGACCATATGGGATGCTGGGAATCGAACCTGGGTTGGCCGTGTGCAAAGGAAATGCCCTACCTGCTGTGCTATAGTTCCAGCCCCAACAAATTTACTTTCTATTGCGTATTCCAAGAACACTTTTAGAAATGGCAAATAGATAATCAGAAAATAAATCAGTAAAGACCCGGACGGTAATCACTATATGATTTTGACCTATGTACATCTCAGAGAGCCCAGCAAGCTACCAAGAGTATCCCACCCGCACAGCAGAGCCTGGAAAGCTACCCGTGGCATATACCATATGCCAAAAACGGTAACAATAATGGGTCTTATTTCCCTCATGCTGAGAGAGCCTCCAATACAGCAGCGTTGGGAAGGATGAGTAAGGAGAGGATGCTAAAATCTCAGGGCCGGGACAAATGGAGACGTTACTGGCGCCCGCTCCAGCAAATCGATGAACAATGGGACAACAGTGATACAGTGATACATAGGAAAAATAAAGCCATTTGATACAATATAATGACATGCCTATTCTCATTTACATGTAAAAGTAAATGAGTGGAGTCTACTCTGGAGTCTAGAGTATACACATTAAATTTGATTTCATACTTGAATCTCATTATGGGAATAACATCTCACCTGTCATTAATAAAACTTATAAAGCAATTCTATACTACTATATTTTGGAATTTACATGAAATAGGTCGCGCCTACACATTCTCTAGAGATGCCATGCAGTGGCCACTCACACATTAAGGATGGGCTGAGGTACTTAGTCAAGGATGAAGATTAGCGGGTGACAGATGGAAGGGGATTAGAGCATGTTTAGGGGAAAAATAAGACAGCATGGGTGGAACTCATGAGACTGGAGTGAAGGTAGTTCAGGGATGGGGAGGGTATCCGTGTCGGAGACAGGGTCCAGCTTGGGCATAGGTGAAAGTTTAAGGAAAGAGTCAAGCTGTGAGGAATGGAGACAGGGCACTGGGGCTAGGAACTGGAAAAGGAGACAGTGTCTATCTTGGCCATTTTGGGGGGCAGGGGACAGTCACGTGAGCTTGGGGTTTACTCCCAGCACAGTGCTCTTGTATCCCTCCTAATGGCAGGGATCGAACCCGGGTTGGTTGTACTGCACGACAAGCACCTTACCTGCTGTCCTATCTATCGAGCCAGACCTGGCCATTGTTCATTTAAGAATGAAACTGATACAGTGGAGTGTTAGCTCACCAAATTGAACGAGGTACTAAGTGAATCACTAGCATGAGTAAATGTTGAAAACTTCATGTACTGTTAAGGAATCTAGAGTCAAAGTGCCACCTGTGATGCCAGTCTCTTTGCATGAGAGCTACAGAAAAGCAGAAGTCAAAGAGGTGGAAAGTCAGTGACTGAGAGCTGGGGAGAGAGAACAGGGAATGACTCTGGGGGGTTTCCTCTGTGGTGACGAACATATTCTAGAATCAGATAATGATGATGATCGGGCAACTTCGTGGGACTCTATTGTAAATCTCTGAATAGCATCATTCAAAATAGGGAAATTTATTTTTTTTTAAAATTTTATTTTCTTTTTAAAAAGTTGTTTGCAGTAATTTATTACATTCAGTATTCCAGCACCAATCCCACCACCATTATACCTTCCCACCACATATTTTAAATTTTTCCACCCTGACCCCCAGGCTGGAGTGATAGCACAGCGGTAGGGCGTTCACCTTACAAGCGGCCAACATGGCCGACCCGAGTTCAATTCCTCTGCCCCTCTCGGAGAGCCCGGCAAGTTACCAAGAGTATTCGATATGCCAGACACAGTAACAACAAAGTCTCCAATGGAGACGTTACTGGGCCCGCTCGAGCAAATCGACGATCAACGGGAGGGCCTTTACCTTTACCTTTACCCCCAGAGCCTATCCCGGAAACAGAACTAAATAATTTATTTTGCATTGCTTGTTATGAATTATCCGCTAAAAGTGATCCTAAAACGTTTCCTTAGAGGAAAGTGTGTGAAAATGATTGTATTTTGCCCTGGAGCTCATTGAGTCAAAACAGGGAATTTTAAATGGCATGTGAGTCATACCTTCATTTGTGGGGGGCCACACTCGGAAGTGCTCAGAGTCTCTTCCTGGCTCTGTGCTCAAGGGTCACTCGAGCCATGCTTGGGGGGCCACGTGGTACCAAGGGACTGAACTGAGGCCAGCTGAGGCGAGACAAGCACCCTAATTCTCATGCCATTTCTCCAGCCCTAGAAACCCAGCAGTCCTGGGGGCTGCTCCCTGCTCTGTACTGGGGGAGCATTCCCGGAAGTGCTCAGTGGACCCTGTGGGGCCGGGCATCAAGCCCAGGCCTTCTGCATGCAAAACATGTACTTGGCCCTGTGTGATGCTTCTCCGGTTCTCCTGTATCTCTACCATGCATGGTCTAGGGGACCTGGGACCACTCCCAGCCATACTGAACCTGGCCATGTGGGCTGGAGGGTCCTGTGTGTGGGTCTGTGCTATGGTGCAGCTTGGAGCCAGCATCGCCAGGAACCATGGGGCAGTGATTCAAGAGGGCCGAGCTGGGCTAAGAGGGCCAGAACGGTGCTCTGGATCACGCCTGGGGCCTAGAGGCTCTTCTCTTGCAGGGAGTTAGCCCTCTGCCCACTCAAGCATTTTGGTTGTTGTTTTGTTTGTGGGCCACACCCCACAGTACTGAGAGAGTACTTCTGGCCCTGTGGTCAGGAGTGCCCCTTAGGATTGCTTTGGGGTTATATGCTGTGTCAGGGAATCACACCAGACCATGTCACAGTCAAGTGCCTGATTTCTGCACTATCTCAATCCCTTAGTCTCTTTTGGCGTTGGCTTTTGGGGTGCTCACATAGGCTGTGCTCGGGGCTTGTTCTTGGCAGTTCCTGATCCTATATGGTCCCCCAAGTCCACCAGGCATCATTTCTGTGTGTGGGGCTGAAAACTGCTGGAGGGTGTGTGTGTGGGGCATCATATGCTGAGGATCAGCCACTTGCAAGGCAAACATCTTACCCCCTGTGCTCTTATCTCGCTGGTGTCCTCCAAAATATTTTAAAATAAAGCTTGCCGCAATAAGAAACCTGCAATTACCAAATCTCCTCCTTCCTGAACACAAGAAAAAAGAAAATAAGGTCTTTGGAGGCAAAAGGAGTTGGCCAAGGTCGCAAAACTGGTAGGTCCCAGAGCCCAGTTTCAGCTGCAGGGCCCAGTTCCCAAATCACTGCAGTGTTGTTGGTCACCCAGCCCGGAGAAGGAAACAGCCCTGACTGATGGGAAACTTCCCCAGGGAGCATCGGGTCATAGGCAAAGCAGTATCTATTGCCATTTAGATCCTGTGGCTTTATTGTGATTTTCAAACAAAATAAAGGTTTTTTTTTTTCCTGCTTCTCCCCCTGAGTATGTGTGGGGATTTCATACATGAGCATGCATCATGGTTTATTTCAGTTATTTTGCTTTCATGGGTTATTTCAGTTATTTTGCTTTTGGAGAAATGCCTAGTAATGTTGGAGATGGCACAAAGCCCCGACAAGTATGCTCTACATGCGGGAAGCTGGCTTGGATCCACAGAGCATGATTCCCGGAACCTACTGGGGGAGACCCCTGAGCATTGAGCTAGGAGTAGTCTGAGTACCATTGGGTATGGTGTCACACCAAACAACAGCAATAAATCCAAGCCCCTAAAACACCTTCCAGCAATGTTGTCTTTGCTTCACTGTATCACAGCAATCCTTCCCCTGTAAATGAACCGCGTGGTCCAGAGCAAAGCAGCAGGGTGGGTGCGTGCCTTGCATGTTTCCGACCTGAGTTGGATGCTGGGATCCTATATGGTTCCCCAAGTCCACCAGGCATAATTTCTGTGTGTGGGGCTGAAAACTGCTGGATGAGCCCCGCCCCCCCCCAGGCCCCACACCCAAACAAACCACGTCATGTCAAACTGTCCCCAACATGAGAATGGAGGGTCCTGCTTCAGACGGGACAAATATATCAGCCAGGAGGACATGGTGCGCCCAGCCTTCAGCCTTGGATCTGTGCCAAAGTGTGAGGCAAAGGGAAGAAGAAGGAGCGAAACCGGCTCCTGAGGTTGGTCATGGCCACTTCAGAGTTTGGTGGCAGTGCAAAATGTCAGCTCCCCTATAGCTCTAGGTTCTCACGAACCAGCCCCTGGCACCCGGGCTTCATCTTATCAACAGCTGTCTGTATGTGCTTTGTTATAACCACCAAGACATCGAGTGCCCCACACACGCTTTGGGCCTCGCAGGCCTGCTACCTCTGTCCTCTTTCCTTCAAGCCTGTGTCCAATGACTCAAACAAGCTCTGACTGTAGCGTAACCTATCCCAGTGAAACCTGTGCC